CCACAAACAACATAATGTATCTTGGGGTAATGCTTACCAAACAAGTGAAAGACCTATATAATAAGAACTTTGTGGCTTTAAAGAAAGAAATTAAAGATACCAGAAAATGGAAAGATCTCCGATGTTCTTGGATAGGTGGTTAAATACAGTAAAAATGGCAATCTTGCCAAAAGCAATCTACAAATTCAGTGCAATCCCTGTCAAAAATCCCAGCACAATTCTTCACTAACCTTGAAAGGATAATAATCAACTATATAGGGAAACACAAAAGACCCAGGATAGGCAGAACAACCCTATACAATAAAAGAACTTCAGGAGGTATCACCATCCCTGACTTTAAGCTCTACAACAGAGTTATAGTTCTGAAAACAGCCTGGTATTGGCACAAAAATAGACAGGTAAACCATTGGTATTTAATCGAAAATCCTTATATTAACCCACACACCTATGAACACCTAATTTTTGACAAAACAGCTAAAAGAATACAATGGTGTGGAGGAAAGCATCTTCAACAAATGGTGCTGACACAATTGGATGATGGTGTGTAGAAGACTGCAGATAGACCCATGTCTATCGCCATGCACAAAACTCAAATCCAAATGGATCAAAGACCTCAACATCAATCCAGCCACAGTGAACCTCTTAGAAGAGAAAGTAGAAGGTACCCTTGAACAAATTGGTATAGGAGACCGCTTTCCTGAACATAACTCCAGTACCACAGACACTGAGATCAACAATTAATTAATTGCACCTCCTAAACTTATAAGTTTCTGTAAGGCAAAGGACACAGTCGACAAGACCAAACAGCAGCCCACAGTCTGGGAAAAGATCCTACATCCTACAAAGGGCTGATCTCCAAAATATACAAAGAACTCAAGAAACTAGTCAACAAAACACCAAATAACCCAATTAAAAAGTGGTGTACAGAACTGAAGAAAGAATTCTCAATAGAGGAAAGCAAAAAGGCTGAAAGACACTTAAGAAAGTGCTCCACATCCTTAGCTATCAGGGAAATGCAAATCAAAACAACTTTGAGATACCATCTTACTCCTGCCAGAATGGCTAAAATTAGAAACACCAATGACTTATGCTGGAGAGGATGTGGAGAAATGGGAACATTCCTCCACTGCTGGTGGGAGTGCAAACTCGTACAGCCATTTTAGAGATCAGTATGGCTGTTCCTCAGAAAAATGGGAATTAATTTACCACAGGACCCAGCAATCCCCCTCTTAGGCATATATCCAAATGATCCACATCCATGCAACAAAAACATATGCTCAACTATGTTCATAGCAGCATTCTTTGTAATAGCAAGACCTGGAAGTAACCTTGGTGTCCCTCAACTGAAGAATGGATAAAGAAGATGTGGCACATCTACACAATGGAATACTACTCTGCAGACAAAAATAATGGAATCTTGAAATCAGAAACCATCCTGAATGAGGTACCCTTTCACAAAAATGGGAACATGATATGTACTCGCTGATATATGGTTTTTAGACATAAAGTATCACCACCCTGAAGTTCAAACCACCAGAGAAACTAGGATACAAGGAGAAATCTGAGAATTCTTGCAAGGTCCCTCACAGAAGGGGAAAGGAACAAGATCTCCTGAGCATATTGAGAGTGGGGGGGGGCTGTGAGTGGAGAGGGAGGTAGGAGAAAAAAAAGGGGAGGAGAGGAAAGCATGTTGGACTAGGAAGATTGAGTCAGGGGGATGAATAGACAAGAGAGAGAGATACCATAAAAGAGGGAGCCCCTATAGGCCTACAAGAATGACCCCAAGTAACAATGTTTTTATCAGTAGAAAGCCTATCTTAATTTCCTTTCTCTGATAATGAGATTGATAACTAAAGTATATGGCATCATAGAGACCTCAGCTGGTAGACGATGGAAACAGAAGCTGACACCCACAACTAAACACTGGGCCAAACTCTTGGAATCTAGTTGCAGAGAGGGAGGAGTAACAAGAAAATAGGGGCAAGCAAGACCATGTTATAGAAACCCACAGAGTCAGCTGACCTGAACAAGTGGGAGCTAATGGACCCCCAGACTGATAGGTAGAAAACCAGCATAGGACTGACTCAGGCCCCCTGAACATGGGTTTCAGAAATCCTGGGCAGTCTAAAGGATCTCTGACAATGGAACCAGGATGTATCCCTGGTGCATGAAAGGACTTTGGGAGCACATTCCCCATGAAGGGTTAGTCCCTTAACCTAGAGGCAGAAGAGAAGGCCTAGTCCCTACTCCAAATGACTTGACAGATTTAGATGACCCCTCCTTGAGTGCATCACCCTACATGTGGGGTGGGGAGAGGGGATGGAAGGGTGGTCAGGATACTTCAGCACACATGCACTACATTTCATAGGTCAGCAGGGAACTGAGAAGTGATGTGACAGATGCATGTTACGACATGTCAATGCTAATTGTTCACATCACTGGTTTTCTTTGAAGCCTCTGTTACTTTGTTCAGAATTATGATGGCTCCTTTTGGTTTAACAAGAGTTCTGTTTGGTTATTTTTGAAGCAGAATGCCCAACTGCTGAGGCTTCAAATTTCTTGTTGTGGGGTTTCCTGCTGCCACCTTCCTCCTCCCTCCCATCTTCTTTATGTGACCTGACCAAGAATCACACACTGTTTATCTACTGATGTGTAACCATTGCCACACTTTTTCCAGCACACCTTAACATAATGCCCCCAGGTGGAACCTAGATACCCCAGTCTGTCCCTTTTGTCCTTTCCCTGAGCTGGCTGCATGTTTATCACAAGGGGGCGCCCCGTAGCCGAGAGCGGCGAGGCCTGGCCGCAAGCCTTGCCGGTGTCTCTTTCAGTCTTTAGTTCTTCGATTCAGGTTTGCCTCGAACTCGTCATTCACTGGGCTCTCAGGTCTGCGTCAACACCCCAGCCTAAAATAGGAAGTCAAGAACGCAGCCAAGAACCAACTTCAAAGCTCCTGGTGACTCCGCCTCTCGCAAATCCGAGGGGAACTAAGGCTTCAACCTCTTCGTGGCTCCACCCTTTCCCTCCGCCCCACCCAAGCAGCAGTTTGCGCTCGCAGAGGCGTCACGTCGCCACTCCTGGGCGGGGCGCAGTATCTGGGAGAGGTGCGTCGCGTGACGGCCTCCGGCCAGCCAATGCACAGTCGCAACGGAGTATTTCAAATGTGGCAGCGGTATTTGTAGCCTGCGTGGCGGAGCAGGAGCAGGAGCAGGAGGACTGACGAGCTCGCCCGGTCGTGAATGCCCAAGGTACAGGGCCGGATGGGTGGTGAACACCAGGGTACCCGACCGATCGGACGAGGCCTTCAGCTCGCGGCGCGCAGTAGACAGGGCTTTTGTCCTAGCACACATCTTGTACGACTTTAGTTTGCTTAGTTACGGTAGCAAAAGATCTTTGCTTTTAAAGTATCTATTAGGGGCTGGGAATGTGACTCGCTGATAGAATTTTTCCTAGCGTGCACAAAGGTCCGGTTCAATTCCCTGCGCGTGGGGGCGCGCATGTACGCCCACGAGCTGTAATCAATTTTAACTCCATAATTTATTCATTCTGTATGACGCTCAGACATCTCCAGTGCAAATTTTAAAAACTTGTTGGTCATAGGCTGGCTTATGCAACCAATTTGTACCTTTAAAAAGTAGTCATATTTATTCTGTTAGACTCCCTCTCTATTGTACATACATTTGTTGAAATAAAGTTTTGAGATCTACAGTACCTGTTTATGGCCTCAGATATGCATGGAGGAAAATAAGTCATAAAGAAAATACTCAAGAAAGGAAAAGATTCAAGAAAACACTTAACTAAGAAGAGGTGAATGAGAATAGTCCTTTGTGGTGAAAATTATATGTACACATTGTGCGTGGCAGCAGTTTGCAATTTTGAAATCTGAAAGTTGTAGTCTAGGATACAAACTGAATGGAAAGTAGCCTAGCATATCTCTTGTTTGAAGCACATTGATGATTTAAGTACACGTGTTCTCTGCCCCAAATTAATAGAGAAAAGCTGCCAAACAGAAACCCAGATATCTATATAATTGCTTCTAAACTTATACTGCAATCCTAAACACTAAAAGTTGGCTGTAAACAGTGTAAGAAAAGTAAGCCAGGTGTGTGGCTCACATACATGGTTCCAGATACTCAGGAGGCTGGGAACATCAAAACCAGTGTGGATAACATAGCAATAGTCTGTGCAGATCTCATTGTGGTTAAAAAGTTGTATACCTCCAATGAGGATCTATTAGAAAATGAATAGTTGACACTCTCTAGAATTACTTACTACTTTCCTATGTCAGAAACATGAATGACATTGTAGGGAGGAGGAGGTTGGTTTTTTGAAGCAGGGTAGCCTTGGCTGTCCTGGAACTCAGTCTGTAGACTCAAACTCACAGAGCTCCACATGCCTCTGCCTCCTGAGAGCGCTGGGATTAAAGGTGTGTACTATTGTGGTAAATAAGGTTCAGGATAAACAAATAGGCCGAATAGATGTTTATTCAGGGAGAAATAACTTACAACCTAGACAGATGAACACCAGGAAATTCAACCCGATCCTCTCCTGTCCGAGTCACGCCAGAAAGAGAGAGCCTTTTCTGGCCCCCTCCGACCTCCTTCCACAGGTCACTTCCACCCATGGCTCCACCCCCCAATGGGTGTGGTCAGTGCCACAGAAGGACTATCTCACTACAGTGTACCACTACCTCCGCCTATTCAATGACTTGATTCTAAAGTCTGTTTTTGCTGATTTGTTTTTGAAATGAGTTGTATTAAGTAGCATGAATTCATGACCTGAGTGCCTTAGCCTTCTTAGTAGCTTGGATTATGCCACAACACCTGACTACTACTAATATTTTAAAGCTAAAAATATCAATATGATTGTCTTTTTAAAAGTAAGTTTACAATTTTAGTCTTTACTTAATTACCCCTTTTATGAACAGCTTGTTTTCATTCCTATTTTATATTTGAAAATATCTGAGAAATGGTAATTGTTTGTTTTTAATTCATAGACAAAGATGGTTAAGGAAAGGTGTCAGAAAAAGTCCTTTCAAGACAGTCTTGAAGACATTAAGAAGCGAATGAAAGAGAAAAGGAATAAAAACTTGGCAGAGATTGGCAAACGCAAGTCCTTTATTGTCGCACCATGCCAAGTACCCAGTGAGATTTTTGTGGTGTCTTTTTACAGCATTCTTATTCTGTGTGTTAGTGTGGCATTTGTTTGTGTAGTGTGCATTCTTCTGGGGCTGGGAAGCAATGTGTTACTAGAAAACTTAGAGAGCCCTGCCATTCCTCTGTTCTGTTCCCTGCAAAGGGTCTCTTACTAAACCACAAGCCCCAGAGATCCTCCTATCTCCACACCCCTCTAACACTTCACCTTCTTTCCTGCCCCTATACACACAGTAATTGGGTTACTTGTTTGCATGACTATACCTGGCTCTTTATATGGATTTGAACTCTGGGCCTCATTGATTGCTTAGCAAGCACTTTTATGCATTTAACCATCTCTCCAGCCCCTGTTTCACCTTCTATGTTTAGGTTTAATTGAAATTTTTATCTCATAGCTAACACTTCTACACTGCTGAAAACTTACCAAGATAACAACAGGTTTTTAGTTTTGGCTTTGGAAAATGAAAAATCCAAAGTGAGAGAAGCCCAAGATATCATCCTACAGCTGAGAAGAGAATGTTATTACCTTGCATGTCAGTTATATACAGTCAAAAAGAAGCTAACTTCCCAACAAAGTGGAGAAACTGACCAGGTATGTTCATTACAAAACTAGCCTATGTAGTTTTGCTGTATGAAGTGCAGCTTTATAAAACCCTTTATAAGTGCTCTTTGGAAAATCACTCTTTAAAAAATAATTTATTACATTCATTTAGATTGTGTTCAGACAACTTTTAGGTGTTAGACATGTGACATACATATATGTAACCTCACATGTAATATGTACATAGTACACAGTGCAGAAAATAATTGCGTTTCTAGCAGGTACTATTTCTTCCTGGATGTACACACCTGTGATCTTGTGATTCTAGAACTCGGCATGCTAAGTCAGGAAGACCCAAGTTATAGGCTAACCTGAGCTTTACAGTGAGTCTTTATCTCTAAAAGAGATTTTAATATTTAGATTACATTTTAAAGATTGTTTTCCTTCGTTTTTAATCTTTTTTCCCTTTATTCAATCAACTACTAGGGGATCAGCCTATCGGCATCTGAATCTCTCTGCTTCCCAGAGCTTTCAAATGATTCTTTTTGTTTTTAATCATATGTGGGTGTGTCTGGACATATGTGTGTTAGTGTGGATACTCCTAGAGCTATCGTTACAGGCAGTTTTAGGCCACTTGAAATGGGTGCTGGGAAACAACTTGGGTTTTTCCAAAGAGCATTCTCTTTTCCTGCTGCTTTCCAGAGTTTTTGCTGAAATTACAAAAACTGATATTCAGTGGCCCTAAAACACTGGGAAGAAAATTCTATTATTGTAGGCCCCCTAATGCCAGCTGTCATGCTTACAGTTATTATGTTGTTACTACTTGCTGATATAGTCTTAGTATTTAAAAGAAGGGGTTATTTTTTTTCTGTCACATATCTATATGTATCACTCGGTCTGAACCACTCTACTTGTTCTTCAGTGTTCAAGGGTTGATTTCTCACTAGTAGAAAGCTTAAAGTGCTTTTTCATTTGTTTATGATGGTCTCCATATATATACCATGCTGGGTTAAATGTGTACGTACCACTATGCCCAGCTTAAGATGTTTTAGTATAAGAACGTTTTCTTGGTCTGGGTCTATAGCTCAAAGGGTGGAAGGAATACCTGTCTAGAATGCATAAGGTCCTAGGTTCATTCATCTCCAATGCTGCAAAAGTAATTGTGAAAAACATGAAGATTTGGAGCCAGAAACATTATTGGGTAAAGGGTGTTTGCCACTTGATGAAAGCCTGACAAACTGAATCCAATCATTGGGACCCACATAGTGGAAAGAGAGAAAGACTCCCCAAAAAGTTGTCCTCTGGCATCCACACATGCCAGAACATGCCTGCCTACAAAATAAATAATGTTTTAAATATAAAAATGTAGAGACAAAGATGGGAAATTTTTAAGGCATTTTTTTTTCCTGTCAACATACTAACACTCCCTGTGCGTTGTAATAAATCTTTATATTTTTGAGATTTATTTTTAATTATGGATACAGGTGTGTGTGCACATGAATGCAGGTTCCCACAGAGCTCAGAGGCTTCAGATTCCCAACCCCCAGGGCTGGAATTGCAGGCAGTTATGAGCCACCCAACATGGGTGCTTGAGACCAAGCAGTGAGTGTATGGCTCCTAGCCACTAAGTTCTCTTTAGTCCCATAGTTAATATTTTAATTTTGCTGCTACTATACAACTAAATATTCTCTTCTCCTTTGTCTTGGATAATGTAACTACTTTCAATGTTAGCTATTTGACACCAAATTGAAAACTTTCTTCATAAGAACTCATTCTAATCATCAGTTTTAGCCTACTTGTTATTAAATCAATGTATGTTCAGTTATGATCTCTCACCACATAAGTCATGTGTTCCACAAAGGCCTGAAAGAAAAAGAAAACCAGTATTTGTTCATTAAATTCAGAAGTCAATTAAATTTATTAGAAACTCTTCTTAGTGTTCCATTTGGGACTCACCTTTTCAAAAGTAATGTGCAAAGCTATTCTATATGCTTGTATTTTTCCATTTTCTCCTGCTTTGGTTAACTCCCCACCCCCCAACACACACACACACACACACACACACACACTCACACACACACCATCATATTCTTCTCATCTTACCCCCATGAGAATGTGGATCTTCAGTATTTGTTTTCCTTCCTATGTTTCTGTATTGGATTACTATAGCCAGAAGTGTAATATCTACTAGTATCTCTTGCCTTTAAGATGAAACCTCTCCTGCTCAAGTTTCCATCCCTTTTTTGTTTTGTTTTGTTTTTTGTTTCCCCCTCACAACACAACTTAAAAAAAAAAAAAAAAAAAAAAAAAAAACAGAAAAAGGAAAAAGGAAAAAGAAAAAAGCTAGATGTGGTGTTCACACCTTTATTTTCTGCATTTGAGAGACAGAGACATCCAGATCTATGTGAGTTCAAGGCCAGCCTGGTCTGTATAGTAAAACCATGTACATATCTTCTGTCCTTACTATTCTCCATTGCTATGTGTCAAGATCACCAAAGCTTGCTCTTGTTTCTTAACTTTACAGTGATATGCAAGTCTCTTTACTTGAAACATTGATCTCTTAAGTTTCTTTCCACCTTGCCCACCCTGAGTTTTCTTCTTACTTCCTTGCTCTTCCCTGCTTGTTTCCTGTGTTGGCAGCTTCTTTATTGGTAAAGGCCAGTTGCCTTGAACACATGTGAAATCCTCTTGTGGTTATATAATTGTTTTTGGTGACTTTCAAATTCATATATCAAAGCTTGAACACAGAGGCAGATGTACACACTCAGAGCTACTACTTGATTTTAGAAAGCATCTCAAACAGACTTTATACAAAGCACAACACTTTGCTTTCCAGTTCTCAAGCATATTGTGCACCTTGGCCTTCTATTTATATATTTAGCTCTCTCTATATAGTCATACTAGCCCAGAACTCAGTCTGAAACCTGGCTAGCCTCATACTGATCTTCCTCCTTCCTCAGCACCAGAGTGCTGAGATTAATGTACTGCTGTGCTCAGATGCTGAGATCTTTCTCCAGTTCCTGCTACTCATCTCAGTAAAATAGCCTGTGCACTCACTCGAGCCAAACCTACTTCATCAGTGCCATCTCCCCCATCCATATTCAGGCCTTACACATGGAATTTTCTTTCCAAGTGTTCTCATTTAAGAATGACCATTGACAGAAACTCCATGGCAGGTTGCTTAACTCTGAATATGCCATAGCCCCCTTGGGTTATGCATGTTTTGCTAATAAGGCCATCCCACTGGCTTTACCACCATAGCCCCAGGCATTTGCTAACCTCCTAACTTTTTCCACTCTAAGTCCCTTTTAAGCTATGCTTTGTGTTGGCCAGACTCAACTTTTTTCTGCCTTACTTAATATTAAGTGAGTTTCCATCACACTTAGACTAACCTTTCCCTCATGGTCATAGGTCTCAAGGCTCTATGCCCACTGGCTAGTGTACACCTACCTCCCGCTGTTGTCAGTTCTTCAGCTATGGTGACCTTAAACACAGCTATGACTTTTCCTGTTTCACATTTGCTGTTTACACTGCTTTTTCTTCCTTCAGCTCCTCAACAGCTAATTAGTTCTTATATTTCAGGTCAGAGTCACTGTGTAATAGAGCTCTCCAGCTTAGCTGCTCTACATTCCCTCTGATAGCACCTTCATAGCACCTTGGAAATAAAACATGTGTCTCTCTTTTCATTGGAAGGAGGGGCACATGTGCTGCCACAGTGTGCATGTGAACATCAGAGGACAACTTTGATTCTTTCCTTCTACCATGGGTTTCATGGATCCAGCTGACATTATGAGGCTTGAACGGCAAAGCTATCTTACTAGACTATTTTTAAAATTTCTTTCTTTATACTAGATTGTAAGCTATAAGGGCAATGAGGGATATACACTAGAATGTAAGCTGTAAGAGGCAATGTGAGATGTACACTGGAATATAAGCTTTAAGAGGGCAGTGTGAGATGTACACTAGAATATAACCTATAAGAGGACAGTGAGGGATATACACTAGAATGTAAGCTCTAAGAGGGCAGTGTAAGATGTTTAGTAGAATATAAATTATAAGAGGGCACTGTGTGATGTTTCAACTGTTGGAATCCTAGCCCCTGAAACTGCATGGCAGGGCTGTTGACTGTCAGCAAGTATGTATTATTCTTGTTGTAGGCATATATACTTATTCAGCAATATATTCATAATGTAGAATGCATATACATACTTCATAGCAGTAAACAACTATAATGGTGTTTTCTTTTGATTTAATATATTAACAGAACCAGAAAGGATATCTCTCAGAAGTGGTCTCCTGTAGTGACAATACCATCGGTGAATTGTCTATGAAGACCTTACAGTTAGTGCCAAGTTCATTATTGTTTCTATTACTACTGATCCATTTGTAAAAGGAAATTGACATCACTTGTGTGTATAGTCTGAGGCTTTTTCTATTAGCAGTATACCTAAGAGAATTTGATATTAAAATACTGTTGTATGTGGAAAGTTAGAGCTTTCTATTTCTGTTTAGTTGCTTTAATGACTAGAGTTAGAAACTCACAAAGACTTTAAACTGTTTTCTTTCCATATGTTTTTATTGTATGTCATGATTTCATTCTGATAAGGAATCATTGTTAAAACTGTCCAATTTATTGGGAGGGGGTTGAACTATCACTTTTTAATACCTGTGTCTTACTGATCAGTTCTGATTCCGATGCCCCTTTTCCCTTCTTTTTGGCTATGTATTTTTTATGTTCTTCCATGAACTATTGAAATTTATTATGTATACCAAAATACCCAGCTTTTTTAATTAAATTTTCTTTCATTTTGATCATTTACTCCCCCCCAACTCCTAGATCCTCCCTTTCCAACTAACTTTGTGTTCATTCTCTCAAGAGGGGGAAAAAACATGAAACTCGAAAATGAAAATCAGAACAGTCAAAAGATCAATAAGACAAAAAATAAAAAAGCCCAAACAAAACAAAAAAATACACAGAAATACCACTGAATCTGATTTGTCTGATTTGTGTTGTCAAACTGCCCTAGAGTTTAGTTCATATAATCAGTGAATCTTCATTATAGAAAATTGATTTTCTCTTTGCCAGCATGAACGATTCTGCTCACTTACACCATTTAGTGAGTGTGACTAACATATATAGCTATAAATCCAAAACTTGGAAGGCTTGTGTAGGAGGACAGTCATTCAAAGATGGCCTGGGCTGTATGACTAAACCTTGGCTCATGACAAATAAAAATCTAGAAAAGCTACAGAATATGGCTTTACTCCACCTGAGTTGTGCTATGGATATCAGTGTTCATAGCCTCTTGGCCTGCACCACTGTGCCAGGAGCCACTCCTCCCCCAGTTGTGAGGACGAACAGTGCTTCCAAATATTGGCAGTTAGCCCCAAGTGTGGACTGACTGCCATAGACAGTGCTTTATAGTGCTTTTTACAGAAGGAGCCATAAATACTATAAATTTATAGCCCTTGAGATCATTGTTAAACTGTAGTAGTTTTAAAACTGTTGGATTTTAAGATCTGACATATGAAGTTAGATCAGATAAGGTAATCAGATTTTTAACTAGATTTCAAAGTAATCATTAGTTCTCTCTACTCCATTACCAAACCTATATTTTAATTTTTACAGCATAAACTGGAAAAGTTTTACAAAGAGTAAAATTGTCAATAACAGGTTTTGAGTGGAAGAAGTCTTGGTTAATGAAGCAAAAAAGAATGCAAGTTTAAAAGAAAACAGGGGGGGGGGGACACTATGCATTTTTAGAATCTATAGCTGGTATCATTAAAGCATCACCAAAAGCTGAGTGGCCAAACTTTATTCTTAATGATTTTGAGACAGTTTGGATTGACTGTTCTGTCTGTGGCATGAGGTTGTATTAAAGACCAGACCTCATGTAAGCAACATTTGGTTTAATGTGGTAGGGAACAAGGTCTGTGGATTTGGACTGGAATTGTGAAATGATGTAACAAGCTTATAGCCTGGGAAAACACAGAATTTTTACATAATTACTAAGATTCTGTTTTTCATTTTTATTCCATAAGGCAAACTGCTTTTAAAGACTGGCCATTCCAAACCAAAGGTAAGTTGAGAGAAAACTCTGATTTTTGTGAAGAAGTAACCTATGAAAGTTTTTCGTTTTCTTTCTTTCTTTTTTTTTTTTTTAACTTTTAAGACTGCTTATCTGTTATTCTGCTCAAAGTAACTTTATTTTACATACACTGATACAGGATTAAAATAACCCATGCAAAGCATGAGTGGTGGCTTATACCTATATTCCTAGCACTCAGGAGAGTGAGTATCCTAGTTAGGGTTACTATTACTGTGAGGAAACACCATGACCATGCACCTTGGGGAGCAAAGGGTTTATTTCATTCACAGTTCCACATAACAGTTCATCATCAAACACAGTGAGGTCAGGATCTCAAACAGGACAGGAGTTGATGTAGAGAACATGGACAGGTGCTTCTCATGGCTTGCTCAGCCTGCTTTCTTATAGAACACAGGACCATCAGCCCAGGAGTAGCCCCACCCACAATAGACTGGACCCTCCCACATCAAGCACTAATTAAGAAAGTGCCCTACAGACTTACAGCTTGATCTTATAGAGGCATTTTCTCAATTGAGGCTTCCTACTCTCAGATGAATCTAGTTTATGTCAAGATAACATAAAGCTAACCAGCTCAGTGAGGCAATGAGGTCGAAAGTTCAAGGCCATTAGAGTACATAATTGAGACCCTGTCAGGAAAAACAACAGCAATATACCTATTCATGGTATGTCTATAAGGAGTCTATAAAGGAGGAATTATGATTGTATCTGTAGCTGCAGTCAACTGCTATATGTTATAGCATTTTACATATGTTGTCTAAGTTGAACACTGCTGTAGCCTAGGAACACAATCCATTTTCTGTAGCCTCAGAGAAGTAAAGCATCTGACCAGAAGTAATTAACAGGGAGCGTTCACAAAATGAATGGAATTTGAGTAAGCAAAACCAGGTGAAAACCCTGCTGTTCCTATAGATACAGAAGATATTTATCTGAAAGGCCTAATTAGCAATTATCTAAATCTTAGTCACCTTCAAAAAATAATTTAATTTCTACTATCTTGGTATATGTTCTCACTTTAGAATTGGAAGTTCTCTTCTTCTGTGTCCTCAGAGATTAAACAGAGAAGTTATTCCTTTTTCTTTAAACCTTTGAACCAGAAACAAATAAAACCACTCTTATATACAAAGTGAGTATATATTTGCTTATGTTGGGGGGTGTTTTGTTCTTTTGAGACAGGGTCTTACATATAAAGACCTGGCTTTAAACTCAAAAGAGATCCTCTGTCTTCTGAGTGCTGGGATTAAAGGCAGGCACCAGACTTCAGACTTGTTTTATTTTGAAAAAGTGTCTTATTCTGTGGCCCAAGCAACTCTAGAGCTATGTGGCACATGCTGCACCTCACTTGATGCTCCAGCATCTGCCTCCTTATAGTATGAGCTACCACACATGGCTTTTCATTCCCACAGTATTTTTAAATGTTGATGTAAGCTATTGGTTGTTCAATGATGAGTAAACAGATAGTGATATTGAGCTTTCATTTTTATTTACTTATAGTAAATATAGGGAAACTATTGAATAACTGCTGCAACTTTCAATTCTAATGTTCTTGAAATGCAAAGTTCTGAAGCATAACACTGTTCCTCATTTGTTTCTTAAATGTTCAGAACCAAGTCCTGTTCCTCCAGACACACCGGGGAGTGATTTAGATTCAGGTAAAGTCAAGTCTACTGATGATGTCTTACCTAGGACTGTTTCTTTCCGTTGCCACTTAAAGAAAATTTTTAGCAATGTAAGTCACTCCACTGCTTTGGAGAACTGTGAAGCCAGTCATCAAGTGGGGCAGTCTTTGGAAGTTAGAAGTGGGTATAGAGACCCAACTATAACTCTGCACAGACTTGAAAATGTAGAACAAAATGGTTGTCTGTGGAACAAGGACCAAGTTAACTTATCCCCTAGATTGACTTACCCAGGAAAGAATGCTAAAACAAACGAAGTCATTTTACCATCTAAACCGGAACAAATGAAAAGCAAGCATAAACATGCACAAAAAAGAAGAGCAGAGCACAGAAGAGCCAACCAGAGATGCAAATCAAAACTCTCACTGAGGTGTAAGGGCAGCAAAGGCAAAGATGAGAACACTGCACACCCCACAAAGTTGAGTGGGTCTGCCGGCGCCAGTGATGCATATGATTTTAATCTGGAAGAGTGTGTGCACCTCACCCCTTTCCAACAAAAAGTGAGCAGTGGCTCCAGTGAAGAGATCAACAACAGTGAGTGGGAAGGGAGTGCTTTTGAACTGAGTTCCTCTGAGCATGAATGTGATGACTCCTACCTTCCTCCTTACAAGCACTTGGAAGACAATACACAAGATTCAGGCACAGCAGTTACCAGACCTCGGCCTAAAAGAGGAATCAAGAACAGGGATGAAAAAGATGCTGAGAAGGCTCTGCCAACCAGAACTCCTACCGGTAAGAGTGTGCTTATTTTCCTAGGTTTTGATGTTTCTGCTAGATGGTTGCCCCTGGTGCTGATGTAGTCTTTGATACTGTACCTGTCATATGTTACTCTGGGGGGGCTAGACTTCCCATATGTGCTTTCTGTAGGAGAAGTTATAGCCTGATTAAATAGTAGGGGTGGAAAATGGAAACAGCTGTGTTATTCTGACTTACTTTAAGCAAATAGGAATCTTACAGAAGTATGACTTCTCAGGATCTGATTCCTATCAGTAGAGACTTTTGGGCAAGGTGAAGAGAGGACAGGTTGTGGTTGGATTGAATTAAAAGATCTACTTTACACTTGTGATCACTTGGAAAATTAAAAAACAAAACAAACAAAAAAAGCCGTCATTTCAATGGACTTACTATATATATATAATTCAATAGGAACCATGATGTATTTTTCTAATTGAAGGTGTGTTTATGAGAGCTAGATATTCTTTTCTTATCTGCTGAAAACTATAGCTCAGAAACTGTTGTTTTTATTTTATCCAAGTGATTCAGCATTAGTCATCAGCCTGCACCTACTCAAAAAAAAAAAAAAAAAAAAAAAAAAAAAAAAACTCCATTAGGAATTTTGATTCTATCTTCAGAATGTCACATTGTAACAGCTCAGTCCGCATGCTTGATTTGCTTAACTAGGAAATTAAAGCCTGAAACAATTAATCAACTTTCCTAGTTGAACAGCTATACAGTATAGCTTGCAAATCTATTTTAAACTATGTATCCTGGTTATTCCTTCCAAAGGAATTCCTTCCACTTCCAGTAGCTGTTTCTCTTTTTCTTAATAAATCTGTGCTACTTCAAATAAAAATACTTTAATGATAGAATAAGTTGAGCAGGATTGGCAAACTGTTGATAATTACTGAAATTGAGTAACATGGGACTTAATTGAATTACAGTGAACACTGTTGTGTTCTTTTGAAACACTGAGATAGTTTGACCCCAGACTTCCACCAGTAGCATTACCTGAAAACAGCCATGATCACAGGTTCTGTCCTAGCCCTTGAATTAGAATTTGAATGTCTTTATAAGTTCCCCTGGGCCTTTATAAACATGGTTTGGGAAGCATTAGTCTACAATACAACAGCCGGTCTAATCCTGTTGCTTAGAGGTAGTCTACACTATTAATACTGGAATAGTTGTATATGTTTAATGGTGACAGGATAGTATCTGACATCTAGATACTCTGTAGTTTAAAAAAAAAAGAGAAAAAAGAAAACCCTGCTGGAGATTATTGTCTTTCAGTGTTCTTACTGTGCATAGGGTTAACATAGGTGGGAACACATTTTATCCTGCTTTTTGGGGACTGATTAAGAGTTCTTGTATGTTTACTGGAATGTACTGAAGGACCTTTGTAGTCAGTGGACCTCCAACAGTGTTACAAACTTTAGTCTTGAATGAGACTAGAGTCTTGATGATTCCAAGTATTAAAGTGTGACTAAAATGCAGTTTCCCACTTAAACCAACCCATGAATGACATCTAAGCTACTGAGGAAGAAAGTTAAGCTTTAGTAAGTAGTTCTATTGCAGCTAGCAATTCTTTACATCTGCCATAATTTCTACATTATCTAGTTTGAAAATAAGAAAAAGCAAGAGGAAGTTTTTAAAACACAGATCATGAAGTGCAAGGTATTTTGTGTGTTTAAAATATGTAATTGGAAAAAAAGGGAAAAATAATTGAGCATATCTTTATTTCTGTGGATTTTATCTCTTGAGTCCATATTCAATAAACATTGTATTGTAGATATTCCACCTAAGAATCAAAAGTCACCTGGTTGTAGCCTAAAGGATGTCACCAATATCCTGATGTGTCCTGTAGTGAGAATTAAGAAACATTCTCTGTCTCCGAGAAAGAATGAAGACTGCCCAGCAGTGCCTCTGCCTAAGCGCAGGTGCACCACCAACATGAGCTATAAAGAGCCTACACTAGCTTCGTAAGTACTGTGTGGACTCATCTGTAACAATCCTAATGGAAGGACTGAAGAAGGGCTTTAGCCTTGATTATATTTGAGACTAAGACTGGCATTTTTTAGAATAATCCTATGCTGAATTAATACTGCTCTCTTTGTAATCATGCCTAAAATCTCTTTTAACTGCTCTCTTTGTAATCATGCCTAAAATCTCTTTTACTTACAGGAAACTAAGAAGAGGGGACCCTTTCACAGACTTGTGTTTCTTGAATTCTCCTATTTTTAAGCAGAAAAAGGAGATTAGACGTCGTAAAAGAAGTACAAAGCTAACACAGTAACTCCTTTTGTTGGATGCTGTCAAATGTGATCCTTCTCTTTTGCTTAATAGTCTTTGAGACACTATGTAATGGGTAGAACCAACCCTTATTGGAATGTCCCTTGAACCTATTCTTTGTAATTGTGTGGATTGCCACCAACATCTAAAATTTCCCTGGCATCTTTACTTTTTCCTTAAGCAGGAGAATGTAGATCATAAATCCTTGATATCACAGTAAGATGTAAGTTGCTGATAGTCCCTTAATCTAATATCATTTTGATTCTTTGGATAAAATATATAGAGAATCATGATTAAGAGAATTGATGGGTTTGGTTCTGGGACAAAGTAACTGTTGTGAACTCTCAATGTGTGTGATGTCATTCCTCATTAGAATGATAACATGTTGTGGAACCCACACTAGCCCTTCATGTTGTCAAAAGTCTACAAATTTGTGAATAGTAAGGGTTTCTGGTTTTGATCTAGGTACAAAATGTAAATAACCCAGTTCAGAAAGTTTAACCTCTGCAGGTGTGTATGTATTTCTTTAAACTGAAATCACTGTAAGTGGTCCATGAAGTCCATGAAGTATGGCCATTGTGTTTTCCTTCTATTCTTAACTGTCAAGTAGTCTGATTACCTTACTTTCTGGCTTTTACCACTTCCAGCTTCTTCTGTCATTTTTGTCATGTCTGTCAACTTTCCTCTTCCCTTCACATTAGAATTGTCTTATCAACTTTTCCCAGAATCAAGACATTTCAGTTTGGGGCTCAGCAGTAGAACACTTGCCTCATCTGGACAAGGCCCAGAAATAAACCCTACTGCAAACAATAGATTTTTAAATATCAGAAGGGCCTTCTAGGCATCAGCCTCCCTGTGGAGTGGGGGGTGGAATGGGGAGGGTCGAGGGACATGGGAGAGAGGGAGAGGAAACTGGGATCAATATGTAAAATAAGAAAAAATAATATATATAAAAAAATAAAACTAAAAAAAGGGGGGGTTATATTAAGCCCAGAAAGGGGGGGGGGGTCCTTCTAGTGTTCATCACTGACTTTACCCACACCTTCATGACTTCCTCCATTTCCCATCACACTGAGAGCTCTTCACTGATACTCTTGTGCATCCTACTCTCCCATCAGTCTTATTTTCCCAGCCACTCTTTCTTAGTGCTGAAGACAGAGCCCAGGGCCCTGTGTGTGGTGGGAGCACAGCCATCCCTGCTTATTTTTTGTAGTGTCATAGAACCTCAAGAGTGACTGTTTTAGCCAAAAATAAATACAAGTTAAAAGTCCAGTTTCATCTCCGTGGACTTCACATGACTGTGATTACCACACTGCATCCTACACAAAGGTAGACTGTATCCTGGCCCACATTGAGCAAGCTGGCTTGTGGGTCATGTTTTGTACAATCTTAGTTTAGTTTTTTTATATTTAAAAAGTTGAAAGTAAATATTTGGATTAAATTTGTTATTTGGTCTGCAGCCCCAGATATTTATTTCCTGGTCCTTTTTCAAAAAAGTTTTCCATACCTGGTGTGATAGTGCATACCTGTAATATCAGCACTGTAGAGGCTGAAGGAGGAGGATCTTGTTTTAGTCCAGCTGTACTACATGATCGCAAAAAGCCAAAAAAGTATTTTTCTACTTCCTTTTATAGACACTTGTTTACTTCAAAGATCTGTGTGCCTTGTGTCAACCTTGATCCTCATTCAATGCTAGTCACTATTCTTCCAATTTTAGTATGTGTGCCGACAAAGCAAACACCAGTCACTGTTGTCTTAAAACTGCTATTAGACTTTGTCTTTTTCATGTTTCTGTATTCCTGGTATAGTGTTTATTCATAGGCTGCTGGGGGTTTTGTGTAAACATTTTTACCTGATAAGCACTGCACTGAATTGTGTGTGTGTGTTGAAGAGTTTGAGACTTACAATGTTGGTGGATATAGGTTATTTTTGTTGTACAGTATCTTAGATGTAAACCAGACTTAATGCCTTTTTTTTAGAAATAGTTGCCATTTTCTTGCTATTTTAAAGGTTACAGCTGCAATTACTATTCTGTAACTCTCCAGAGTCTTCTGTAAAGACCAGGTTCCTCAGAAGGTTGTTTCCTAATGTCCAACCAGGTCCTCTCACACATCAGTTTACAACCCAACCTCACATTAATAGCTTACCTCTGAATTCCCTAGTGTTCTATTCCTTTTCCAATAATAGTATTAAAAGCTGACATTTAACTATCCTGGTTTGTTATCATGTAAAAGCTGTTAAAAGAAGCAATTCTAGCTGGGTGTGGTGGTGCAAGCCTTTAATCCCAGCACTCAGAGGCAGAGGCAGATGAATGTTGAATTTGAGCTCAGCCTGATCTACAGAGTAAGTTCTGGGGGGTGGGGGTGGGGAAGAGGAGCAATTCTACAAGAAGATACATGTAACAAATAGCTTTGTTTCTAGAACAAATGGAGAGCTGTGGCTTGAAGGAGGATTTATTAGGTGTGCCACAACCATATAACAGCACTCAGTGGCTCTTGGCTTCAAATTCTGTTTGGTAATTGATCAATAAGGAATATCTGCCAAGAGATATAGAGTGGTAGAGCATGTGTGAGACCCCTGGCTTCACTACCCAACACCATACCAAAAGAATAAAACTAACATAGAGATGAGATGTATAACTTAAAAATAAATTATCAGTCAGTACATTGAGATCTGAAGAGGAGTGGGAGACAGTGAATACTGGGGACTGAAGCCAGTGAGATGGCTCAGTAACAGCACTTACCACCAAGATTAATCATCTAAGTTTGATCTACAGAACCCATATGGTAGACTCTACATCTCTACAACTCTACAAAGTTGTCCTCTGGCACCAAAAAATAAATATTTGAAAAAAAAAATCTACAAGGAGCCAGGCATGGTGGTTCAGTTCGTGTCTTAGTTCCATTATTGAGAAACATGAGCCAAGAGAACCTAAGTTTGGGACCAGCTTACACCATATAGTACAGTCGGGAGTCCTGTCTCAAAGATATGTAAGTATATTACCCATGGATAGTCCAGAACCAGAGAGTACAAATTCCGTGGTCTCATAAAATCAAAGTACAGGACTCATGTTTGGACTAGAAAGGGCCATGAGGAACTTTTCATCTGCCTTCTTTAGAGTAGTTGGTGCTGAGTTGGATACAGCAGTAAGATGGCATAACTGGTGAAGGTGCATGTTGCCAAGCCGGATGACTTCCTAATGCTATGACCCTTTAATACAGTTCCCCATGTTGTGGTGACCCCCTGCCATAAAATTATTTCATTGCTATTTCATAACTGTGATTTTGTTACTGTTAGGAATCATAACATAAATCCCTATATTTCCCAATGGTTTGTGGGGGTCATCACGCACAGGTTAAGAACTACTGCAGAAGCAGCTTCCATTTAGAGAATGTGAGATGGGCACCTTCAGAGAGGAGTGTGTGACAGAACATAGAGAAAGGAACATCAAGTGTGACAGTGCCAGATAACCACCATGAGAGAGGGATGTTTGACAGAACACAGAGAAGCTGAGTATAAAATGAGAGTTGTTAAGTCACAACACAGACTCAACATTGATTCTGTAAGATCTGTATGAACATACAGTTCACTCTGAGGAACTGTGGGTTTATGAGGCTTACTTACTGAGCATGGCAAAGGCAATAATGTGAAGGCCTCCAAAGCTGCTGCACTGGGAAGGCCTGCACTCATCATGGATCATGCCTGAACAAATGGAGGCCTTTCCACTAACCTTTCCAACCCATTTACCCTAGCATCTTAAAGATACATTCCCCACCTGGGTGCAGTTAGGGAAAAGTTGCCTACAATTGGCTGAGACAGGTACCTGAATATGCAGTCAAGGACCCTTCTGTAAGCAGTCCACAGATCATAGATTGGGCTCTTGGAAGCACACAACTGATCTGATAAAGATGGCTGCTGGTTTACTCAAACAAAATAGAGTTACCTGATTATATTAAAGGTGACTTCCTTTGTAGTTTGTAGATGTTCGATGTTCTTAATCTCTTTAAATTTTTTTTTTTTTTTTTTTGCTTTGTTGACTCTTACCTCCAAAGATAACCTAGAAACCTTCACATGCCATTTGTTCTAATTTCCTGCCTGTACTGTGATAAAACACCCTGACCCAAAGCTGCTTAGGAGAGCTGGAGAGCTGCTTTACAATTGCAGATTAGAGTCCATACCCAAGGGAAGTCAGGGAGAAACTCTTATCACTAGCAGCTTGCACATCTCATCCACAGTTGAGAGCAAAGAAAAATGCATGTACCCATGCTGCCAGCTTGCTGTTGCCCAATATTCATCCCTCCCTGTTCTTACACCATTCAGGGCTCAGCACATAAACTAGTGCCACCACAATGGCTTAGTAGGTCTTCCCACTTCATCCAATCAAGACAACGCCTCTCCAAACATTCTTATCCAGAGGAGTCCTCAATTGATTGAGGCCCTCAGATGATTCTCAGTTGTAACAAGTAGGCATTTAAAAGTAAGCATCAGGGCTGTTGAGATGGCTCACTGCAGTGAATCTGTTCACTATATACCCTATCCATTTTCTGCACACACATGCAAAAACACAGAGTGCTTTCTTCTTGAAGGCACAGTGGTAGTACACATCTCTAATCCTAGCCCATAGGAGTCTGAGGCAGGAAGACTGAGTTTTAGGCCAGGCTATGTATAGTGAAATTTATGGCAAAAACATGAATTAATTATCAAACAATCTTAATGTTCCAGCAAATGAAAAACTATGTCAAGTCAATTCCCATACCTTAAATAAAAGCTTGCAGTGATTTCAGTATCCCAGAATCAACATATTCTTTTTCTCTTGGGCATTTTTATTTGCCTAGAGGAGACTGATTAAGATCTAGAGCTCAGAACAATATGGAAAGGCAAAGGCCTGCAACCAGTCTTCATAATCTATTAAGTTAAAGGGAGGACATCTACTGTGAAGGACATCAGCTTCTAAACAGATTGTCAGCCTGTCCATGATACCTTAGTCTAATCTTCTATCTGCTTTTTCAAGAAAAATGTTAAATACCCAGCCATTTCAATTTGTTCTAATAAATGTAGCCATTTTCGCTTTTTTGTTTAATTGTTTTGTTTTGAGACAGGGTCTATGTAACCCTGGCTGTCCTGAAACTCTATGTAGATCTGTCTACCTCTGCCTCCCAAGCCTATACCATTGCAACTGGTTAAATGTAGCTATTTTCAATTATTAGCTGACTAATCAAAGCATTAGGGTAGGGGGTGGAGTGCAAGGTGGTTCATCCAGTAAAACCAGTTAAAGGCACTTGCTGCTGAGGCTGATGACCAGAGTTCACAGCCCATATCTTAGACTCACACATATATAAAATAATTAACCTTTAGGGAAATGATTCAGATGGTAAAGAATTTGCCATGCAAATGATAAGGGGCTTCATTTGGATTCCCCACCCCCACCCTGTATTGGAAACGGGGATGCAGCTGGGCACCTGGAGTTGGTTCATTGATTAACTAATGTTAGTAAGCCTAGGTTCAGGGAGATACTCTGCCTCAAAACATAAGGCAGAGAGTTATTGAAGATACCCATCACCCTCTGGCCTACACATACATATATGAATAAATGCACAAGAAATGGAGCTGTCTCCCACATGCTCCTCATCTATTTCTTACTTGGGAGAGACTCAACTAAGCATACTTGTAGATATGGGTTGATATGTCCATCTGCCCACTCTTCTCCCTCATTGGCACTGGTGGAGATGAACCCAGGGTTGTGAGCATAATAGGTGGTGCACAGCTCTCCTGCCTATGCTTCTGCCAAACCTGCCTTCACACCATTCATTGCTTTTAATACTATAGACAGCTTAAAGACCAAAGCCCTGTCCCTGGTTCAAATCTTTGAACACCACAGCTACTACTAGATCTTCACACCCACACAGTATATAATTCCTGTAGAATTTTAAGGATGGGAGATGTTTTAAAATCACATGTGTTTTGCTCTTACCTTCTTCTCTGACCACGTGCAAATTCTGTAAATGAATTTTCCTTAAATAGTGATGTTTTAGTGAATGACACAAAAGACAAAGAAGTGTCTTCCTCTGACACTCCAGCAGGATTTTTTTAAATTTTATTTTTAGTGATATGTATATGTTTGTATCTGTGTATGGATATTTGCACAAGTATGTATGGGTGCCTATGAAGAACAGAGGACATGTGTGGATATTCACACATGAGTGTGGGTGCCTATGGTGAACTGAGGTGTGTGTGTGTGTGTGTACTTGCATGTGAGTATGGGTACCTGTGGAGAACAGAGGATATGTCTGTATATTTGCATGTGAGTATGGGTGCCTGTGGAGAACTGAGTTGTGTGTGTGTGTGTGTTTGCATGTGAGTGTGAGAGCCTGTGGAGAACAGAGGACGTGTGTATGTGTATACATGTATATTTGCACCTGAGTATGGATACCCATGGAGAAAAGAGGATATGTGTATTTGCATGTGAGTATGGGTGCTGTGATGAACATAGGATAGCATCAGATCTCAAGCTGGAATTAGAGGCAGTTAATTACAAGCCATTAAATGTTGGTGCTGGGAATCAACCTTATGTCCTCTGGAAAAACAGAAGGTGCTTTTAACCCCAAGCCTTCTCTCTAGCCCCAAATACAGGGTTTGCTTTGTTTTGTTTATAAAATATCCTACAACTGCAGAATTCTACACATAAGCTTAAGAGCTAAGGATTAAGGGCATAATCAGTGCTCATACCAGCTGACACATTGCCCTGTTAACCTCAGACTGTTAGTGGAACAAAATGTAACACCAGACAGAGTTTTTCAAAATATAATTTAAAATTATTTTGTACCAGTACAATATATTAATTTTACAAATGTAAAGTTTTTATCGGCTGTTAAAGCATTTGCAAAAACCACACATTCTATTTTAGCTTTATTGCACAATATCTATAAGAAAATATTAATTTTAAATTAGAAAACATAAAAATGCTTTCAATATAGAAGAGACCATCTGATTTTAAAGACAACGCTCTATAACAATGTCTACCCAGGAAATACCAAGCTTTCACAGGATACCAAGCTGGACAGATGCTTCAACAAAATCCGGTTTTTAAAGTCTGAGATACTTAATGCAATTATTTCTTCATCAAGAGTCTAGATGCCACTCAGAGTATTCCTTGGAACTCTGAAAGTTGAGGCATCTTTAGTATGGTCTTCAGTGAACACTCTGAACCTATAGAATACCTTCCATGTCAGAAGCAGCACTCAGTAGCATTGCCAGGGTGTTTTCCTTCAAACACACTACCTCTGCAAGCTCTGTTTAATGGCTATTAGTAACCCATTATAATTTATGCTGATAGAAAACATACATTAAATACACTTTTAAAACCTCAGCCTTTACAAAAAAAATCAGTTTATAAATTTGCATCATAAAAATTAGTGTCGACCTTTGAGGTGGCCTTCATTTACTATGGTTGGTTTTCCCCAGAGCTGGGGTGGCAGGTGCCCCACTTCTTTATGTAGTGTAATCAGGAAATAAATCCAAGCCCTAAGCTTGAGTCCCCAGACAGATTGGTTGGTAAGATTGTACAGCGGTTGAACTGTAGTGGGATATAACTGTGGACTAAAGAAACGATGCAGGTGTTAAAATACTGGCATAAACTTTGAGAATTCATTTCAATTCAGACAAGCATAAATCTGGAAATGCAAATGGGAGATGTTCACACAGACATTGCTGATAGGGTTAAATGTTCCAGAAAGTACAAAGAATCCTTACCTATTTGGAGCAAGTATTTAGGACAAATGTCTTAACATTGACAAAACCTCCAATGTTTTCAATATGACACCTTTGTGGCCAGAGAAAGGATCTTTTAGAACTTAGAACCTGCCCAAGCATTAAATAGTGGTTGTGAGCTCTCAAGCCTGTGACAGTTAGATACTTATCAAAAGTCCAGTCCTTAGGAGTCAAAGCAGCTGCTGCTGTGGAAGTTGCATTTTTCAGAACTGCTCAAAGCACCTCATCTAACTGAGCGTTTTAAAAAATATATATTTGTAAAAGGTCTACAATGAGACTTCAAACATCACATAGTTCACCTTGGCAGGTGTACTGTGGACCCTTTTCTTAAAGTCCTTCAGAATAAAATAAACTCTCATGTTCCATTAGGGAAAAAATGGAGGCATTCATGGTCAATTTTTTTTTTCTAGATTCCCCTAAATCCTGGTACTGTGTACAATTTCCTCACATACAGGTTTTGAGGAAGCCCCTGATCACCTACCATGCAATAGTCAACTACTGGACATGCCAGAGAAAATTTACATGATAGTAGTAAATAAATTAAAATCTACTCCACAAAATAAAAGTTTTCTATGATTTCCATTTAAATACATCTCTGAAAAGCTAAAAGGAGGTTTTGTTTGTTTTTCAAAAGTGCTAATTATTACAAGTCTCTTCAACACATAATGTACAATTCTTAAAAACAAACAAAAACCCAAAACTTATACCACCTGCTTTAGGCACACTACTGTTGAGTGTCTAAGGAAAAGAAATCACTTGTCAATCAACCCTGCTTCCTTAATTTTACTGAAGAAGAACTTCTCCAGGATGCTGGCACATTTGTAGTACTCACTCTCAGGAGGGTTGTACTCTTTGCAGTTAGTGAACACTCTTTGCAAGTCCGCCATGAATAATTTCTTAGACACATAGTACCTGTTCCTGAGACGTTCACTCATGGTTTTCAGATCTGCACAGGAAACAACAACATTAGCAACTGTTGACTTCTACACAACAGCTGACAAGTGTGAGGTGAGAAGAAATGTACACACATTATTGATTGGCTTACATTTTTCTCACCCCAATGCCATGCTTAAGAGAAATTCCAGGGATTAAGAAAAATAATTCTTAAGTCTACTCTTCTAAAAAGGATTTGTATATAACACTACAGCCACACTAACATTAAAAGGACCATTAATACTCGTGTGCTCCCATCTCTTACTGTGCACCAGGAGGCTAAGGAACAGTAGAGGACCCAGGGATGCTGAGCAAGGCAGGCAGAACACTGTCACAGAATCTTTGATTGCTAAAAATCACAGGCTGAGCTAGTTTTACTAAAGCTATAGTTGTATTGGTGTGATACCAAGAAAGAAGGCAGTATCATATTTGCAAATGCATCAGAAAACTGCACATAAAATACTAAAAGTAAAACAAATTTTGTTCCAGGCTCCATCAATGAAATCAAACTTTAACTTTTGGCTTTCAACTTCACCAAATAATCATTTATTTACTGTTATTTTAACTGTATAAATACTTTGTTTATATACATGTCTGTGTCCCATATGCATGCCTGGTGCTCTTTAAGGTCAGCAAAGGGCATAGAATCTCCTAAAACTAGAATTACAAAGTGCTATAAGTGGCCATATGGGTGCTGGGAACCAAATCCAGATCCTCTGGAAGAGCAGTCTTAAGCGCTAAGCCATTGTTCCAGCCCAAAATAATCTGCACCCCATACACACACACACACACACACACACACACACCACACACACACACACACACACCCCAGGTGGAAAATGATGGGAAATCTTGTTAAGTAAGGTCACAGGGATACAAACTCTGGAGTTATCTTTTCTGTTGTACCTTCACATATGGCTGCTACAATCTTTCCCTAGCGGCTGTGAGAAATCTCCCTCTGCCTGTATTATAGTATGTTTATCTCATGAGTACATTCTGATCTACCGGGCATTTTTATCTGCAGATTATCAAGAAGATGATTCCTCCATAAGCTCTGTTATCTAATTGATATTAATGTTAGCTAATTCAGAGTTTTGATGAATGTCTTGGGAAGTGCCAGCTGACCTTAGCCTGAACTAGAGAATTGACAACACCTGAAGAGTCTCTTTGTCTAAAATATGGCACTCTGAGAAATCTGATAAAACCCAGAATTTACTACTCCTGATTACAGAATGTTAGTCCAAAATGTTTATATAACCATGGGTTAGTTTAAAATTTGCCTTTTCCCTACATGGAAAAACCCAGGGCAAAAGGACAAAATGGCTATCAGTCCTAACAACACTCAAAAGTATAGGCTGTTTTCTTACCTTCTTAGACTCTTCAGTAATTTATATTTATTTATAAGATTACCTCTCAAGATAAAAAGGTGATTGATTCTTTCTTTGCTACTGCAATTTGCAGCCTGCCAACAAAAGACTTTAAAAAGTAATGTTCCTTCTTTGCTCTGATATATTGAACATAAGTTGTCTGATAACTCTGCTTTTAATCATCCACTTAAGAAATGGAATGTGACTCCTTTGTGACACCTGTATTGTCTGATTCTGTTGGGGTATTAAAGCGGTGAGGGAGAGGGAACAAAGGAGAACAACATGAGATAATAAAGGAATTGTTGAGAGAATGAGACCCCCCCCCAACCTTCTCAGATAAAAAAAGTCTCAGTTCAAGCCAATGCTGCGGTTTTTCCCTTCAAGCTGTGTGCAGTCTTGAAGCTGGTCTCCCAGGCTGCCATAGCCAATAATTGTCTCCCACATCACCACCCAGTTTTATATCTACACTGAGAAAATTGTAATAACATTACCCATGGGGAACCTTATAACTTCATAATATCCTGGAGCTTCTGTTCTCTTCACAGGTTCCATGAAAGGCCAGGCGCTTTGATGGCTCTTGAATAAAAGAAATAAAAAAAGGTATCTTATGTGGAAATGCCATGTGGAAACCATTTCAAATGAGGTGAAAAACAGGCACCTACCTTAACCTGCTGCAGGATGTTCTTAAGGATGCTGTAAAGCTGCTCGGGGTCTTTGGGCTCTTTACTTGAAAGAAGAGAGAATAAAGAGGAAGGATTAGTGTTCATGCTCCAGGCTTGAACCACTCTGCTCAGCCTCTCAGGTCCCAGCCTAGGAACTGAAGCCCACTAATGCTATATACCAATTACATCACTTGGCCCTTTTCCTAGAAAGTGCTGGAAAGGGGGAAATCACTTCCATTAACATCCTCTAGCCCGGCTTGCTTACCTTTTCTCTTTTCCACTTGGTTTCCAGCCTGTCTCTCCTATATGTCAACAAAATTAAACACTAAATGAGAACTGCTCTGGGTCAAGAGAATAACATACTTACTACTTATTAAAAGCACCATACATGACAGCCATGTCTCAATAAAAGTCTGTTTGGGGAAACACTGAAATAGCATTTATTTTCTCTTTCCTATAGCTTACAACATAAAATGTTTTCCCAGACTGGCAGCTATATTAGTATATTTTGTTCTCTTAGTTGATTTATTAATTTTTTTTTTTTGTAGTACTAGTGCTAGAGATTAAAGCCAACACCTCACATCACTACTGAGGCAAATGTTCTATCCCTGAGCTATAATCTCAGCTGGTTAGTGTCTGCTAAGGCAGAAACTCTAACTCTTCAAACAATAAAAGAAAGGGGGAGAAGAAACCAGTACTACATTTTTAAACTGTAAGTCAGAAATCTTCAATTATCACACAACAAAATGCTGCTGTTATTTTAGCTCAGAACGGAGCTCTGTGCTGTTTTGTTTGGCCAAGACCCTGCTTGCAATGTAGATGGTTTATAGAGACCTGGTATCTGAGGGCTCTGGAGTTGATTCTTCCGTTCTCCTTAAAAAAGTCACTTTACCTCTCCCTCAGTTTACCTACCTACAAAACAAAACTACAGAAACTAGGTGGTATTAGCCCTTGTGACATTAGTTGATGTTTTTTAAAAAGTCCAAATAGCTAAACATTTGACAAAAGATGAAAAACTAATGATTTGGGAACAAATAAAAACAGAAGAATACCTGACACCACTAGGCATTCAACAACATAGGGCAGCTACTCTGCTATCAGCACTAACAACACAGGGTGAGACCCAGGGTTCAGCATCAAGAGTACTGGGATAACTGGGATAAGGCAGATGGAATTAAACAGCATCCTGACTGTTTCCTGGAGAATTTTATTTTTGTTGTTGTGTGCTGGGGTGGGAGGTGGGGTGAGTAGTAATTAGAAGGACTTAGGTTCAAACCAAGTAAGATTGCCAAATGATATTGTTTCCAGTCTACAAATCCCAATCATTTTGCATGGTTTAACCCAGCACAGTTTATTTTTAGCATATTAAAAGGAATTCCTAAGAAAGCTACTGTAAAATAAAATCTTGAAACAACTGATGTGACTTCCATCACACATGGAGAGGAGGAAAGAAGAGAAGTCAGGCCACGGGTTCATTCAGGTGACAGTGGGTTGTCCACAGCAGGCCATTTGGAGAGCAGAATGGATTGCTTCTTGTTCTCAACTTCTGCATGCTAACTTACACAACCATTTGAAGATGAGTTCCACAATTTGTTAACACAAAGATCCAAAGTTTCTATGTTATTTAATACATACTCCCATTGCCAAGCACTGTGTACAAGTGCTAGGCCTTAACAAATTATGTATATTAATAATAATTCTTTTAAAGGAACTCTGGGTTGAGTTAGGAAGAAAAGACATTAGAAAGTCTTTATTACTGCCCTCCCTATCCCCATGTAGTATCTCACTCTAGCCTAGGTTAACCTCAAATACTACATCCTCCTGCCTTAGTATCTCAATTCTGGGATTACAGGCAAGCACCCCACAACTACTTTGCTGCCCACTTCAAAGACCAGAAGTACCACACATGGAAAGGGGGCAGGTGAAAGCTTTTGAAATGACTGTACTCTGGTAAGATTTTGCTTTTTTTTATAAGTGTCTATACATACTGATTCCAGGAATGTTTTCTATAGGAATCTGCCGAACTCCATCTTTGAAACACGAAAGTCCCGGGTAGACTTTTCGAATCTGGGCTTGTTTTCTTTCTATCAGCTTTTTAATGATCTGAAAAGCATGAGGGAAAGTATGTTTAGTCAAACACACCCCACACCATAATTCAGGGCAGTCAGATAAACTAAGGAGACAACGCTCCTAATGCTGTACATGTGTTCTTGAGACAAAAATGGAGAGAAGCCAAATACAAATTACCAGATAAGAGGGAGAAGCATTTCAGGGCCTGTTACATGGCTCAGAAGGTAAAGGCACCTGGCACCAAGCCTGATGACCTGAGTTCAATGGTGGAAGGGGAGAGTTAACCCCAGCAAGTTCTTATCTGGCCAAAATACATGTCATTGAGTGTGTGTGTGCACCCCACATACAATATAATACAAAAATTTTAAATATATCTTTTAAAAGAAGTATTCTTTTATACCACACTCAATTAATGACATTAACACATATTTTGTGTGAGGAAAGAGAGGGGCTGGCTAGAGAGGTTAGCAGGACCCCTCCAAGTCCAGCCTCTTGTAGTCTCACATGTGAACTGAGATAGAAGAATCACCCTTCATATTAACCTACATATATGCACACACAGACAACTTTTACAGCTCCCTGCCTTCACCTTTTCTCTTGCCCGAGTCGTGCCCTTCTTTGTCATAGGACACATGATCTTACCTATTCTTGTGTCCATCATCTTATATATTGGAAGTGACCTGATCTTTGTTTATGCCACCCCAATTCATACAGGTATTCAGTGAGGCCACCTCACCTGTAGAGCAGCAGGCATTTCTCTCCGTCTTCAGCTGATTTTGACCAAGTACATATTCAGAGACTAGAAAAGTTCTCAATACACAGCTCATTCTCTGCTTTTATTATTTAAGGAGCTTTCCATAAGTAGAGTCTGGCATTTTAGAGTATTTCAGATTTTGGATTCTCTCATTGAATATGCTCAGTCATAAGTCAGTGGAAATAGTGGAGAAAAAGAAATAGATTCAAAAATGCTTGGGTCAGGAGCATTTTGGATAAGAGATACTTACCCTGTCTCTACAAGGACAGAATTTTGGTATGATGCCGCTCTTTTTTAGAAATGTAGTTCAGAACACTGAGCATAAGACTATGAAGGTAAAGACACAGATGGAACATCTTTATCAACATATCCTTGCCCAAAGGCTCAGAGAACATCAGTAGGAAGGGGCAGAAATAATTTAGGAGGCAGCAGACAGGGAGGAATACTGTGAAAGGGTGGCCTAGACACCATTCGGCTGGTGCAGACACACATGAACTAAGAGTTAAAAATCGCATCATGAACAGGGTAAGAACTCCAGATGCCCTGGAGAAGGGAGGGAGGGAGGGAGGAAGAATGGCTTTTCTTTGCTGCTGTGGCCATTGATAGGTTGCCGATGCCTGGGTGGATAATCCCCTCTCGTGCACATGGACAGCTCTAATTGGACTTAGTGATTTGGGGGTTGTTTCTTCAGTTATAAAGTTGGGAGTCAAATGGAAGATATATTGGGGTGATAATGGAGGGAATGAGTAGAGGGTGGATATGACCAAGATACACAGTATATGTGTGTGGAAAAAAAAAAAAAAACTAGGTTTACACTCTCACACTCCCATTTAATGGTATGTTTTTAAGAAAAGATGACCCACAAAGAGGGAGAGGTAAAAGAGAAAGGGGGAAAGGAAGGAGCTGAGAGGGAACAGAAAAGAGGAGAGAGAGAAAGAAAGTCTTATCTTTCAAAAAGTGAACCCTATTTTAGTCATCTGAAACAGCTCTGTGCTTCTGGCTTTCCCCTGGGTATTAAGAGCTAACATTCCCTCAGTGGGAATCCCTTCAGACCAAGGGATTCTTGACACTAGGGGCTAAACCCTTGTGGCTGGCAGAGGACTACAGAACAAGCAGGTGACAGCACAGTGCCAGGGTCATCTGGCTAGCAGCCACCAATAGACCAAAGAACTGCCAAGTCCAGACCTGTTTGTTAAGCCCTAGAGAACACTGAGGGAAGTCATCTCTTCAAAAAGGCAAGTCAGATGCACCTGCTGCATTAAGAATCCTTCCACAACCCTATTTGGAACTCCTTATTGGGTAGACATCTTTGACTATGCAATAGAGGTGGTTTGATTTTCTAACTTAAAATGCCTACTTGCTCACATCTATAGCAACACATGCCTGACCCAACTTTAAATAAAATACTCAGGGAATAACAGCTGTCACGCACAGTATAAACTTTCTGGATATTATATGGGTCACATGTAGTAAGCAAAAGAATTGGGCCTAAGAATATCAGTAGAAAGATGATGGATTTAAGGCAGATGTGTCTTGTCAATAGAAAACAGCAGATTAACAGTTCTGGATGGAACTGATGTCTTCCACATACCAACTCCCACGTCGTGGCCCTGACCTTTCCACAAAGGTTATTCATTTCATAAACAGTCCTTGTGGACTTTCTTCCTTGCCATTCTACCTTTTTAAACATGTTAAATCACTTCATACTCATATCTGAAGCCTTCTCTGTTATTACTACTTCTTATTTGTAAGCATGAAGGATGTCATACCAATACAGATAACAAATTAGTTATTACCTGGGTGGAAAGAGCTTGCAGTGTAAAGGGGGAGAATAATGGACATTAGAAGAAATGCCTCTATGATAAATGATTAAATGCAAGTGGATGGGTCAGACTAATGCCACAGAAGTTCAAAGGCAGCCTGGAACAGAATCTGAGTGACAGGGAATATGAGCCAGAGGGATAAAGCATCAGTGATATGGGGGATGAAAGCAAAGAGAAAAGACTGCAAAGGGGCCAGAATGCAAATGTCGCCAGTGAAGCTAAGATGTCATCGCACTGTATACATGCTGTATTTCACACAGTTTAGCACACACTGATACGGAACCCAGTGAAATACAGCCCACCCCAAGGCTGGCCTGGGCAGGAGTCAGTAGCTCACCTCCTTCTGCTTTTTAATGATAACAGAGAATTCCGTGTATGGGATCTGAGGATTCAGCTCACATCCCATCAAAGTGGCTCCTTCATAATCCTTGATGTACCCGACATATTTGGTTTTAGGTATTTTGATTTCTTTGGAGAAACCCTACAAGGCAAATCAGTTCACTTATCAGGATGCTGTGCAATAACACCGTCCACCTAGCTGCTAAATGCTGGCTCTGGACCAAGCCTGGTGCCAAGGATTAAGATGAACACTCTTCCCAGAATTGTTGCACTGCTCTGAACAGCAGCCACACAGCTGATCCATGACAAACAAAATCATCAAAAATTTAACAGTACCAACAGGAAACAAATTTAAATTAAGTGTCTGGAGGTGGCAATGTGTACACCACTTATTCCAGCTGGAGGATTGTAAGTTCAAGAGTGGAATGACATCCAAGTTACTAGGACTGGAATCCTTGGCAGACTTTGTCAGAAATGAACATTTTCCAGAAGTTGAATCAATTTCCTTTAATTTTTAAAAGAGATTCAGATTCAGTGAGAGATCCTGCCTCAAAGCAATAAAGTAGAAAGCAATAGAGGAAGATGCCCAATGTCTTGCTTTGGCTACCAAGTGTACACAAATAGGTGCATGCACCTGGACACACACATGAATGCACACATGCACAAACACAGGCTGAGGAAGCAAGGCTTCACTGGGAACTGACCTGCTTCTTGAAGTAGCCAATGGCATACTCATCTGCATATGTGAGGAAGTTCAGGATGTCATGCTTTATGTGGTATTCTTTGAGATGGTTCATCAGGTGTGTTCCATAGCCCTGGTGGAAGTAAAGATTCTCAAGAAATTCCAAAAATATGACAGGAAATGGTAGCTCACAGTTTTAAATAGTTTTCCACCCAGGGTCTTTTTAGAAGAAGCTATTATGTTAACAAGCCTTTCTTGAATGCTTAAATTTTGAAAAGGAATCACAAAGATAATTCAAAATTTGTGGTTCAAGACAAAGATCATCACTGGGAAATACTAGTTCCTGGTTCTTTGAAAATAATAAACCGAGACTCCAAACTCAGTCCTAAAATCCTTTCTTGCTGATGCCAGATGCTTTTAGAATGAACAATGATGGTGAATTTAATCTTGAACTTTTTAAGAAGCTGAGATAAAAGGAGGTAGGAAGATGAAAGGTGCTGACCCTCATCAGCATACCTGAGATATGTAAATAAGCCATACAGATCTTCACTGGGGTATGTACTGATCCATTTACCTGTGCCAGGCACCAACAACCCTTCTAGCAACTGCATCACAGTCAGGACTTACAGCTTGGTTTATCTGACCAACAAAAATCTAAGAAGCCTACAGTCTGAGTCAGTAAAAAACAGTGGAAACAAAACTATGGACAATGTTGAATAAATGAATGGTTTAATATATGAAAACAGGACCAGTGTTCTGGTGTACACTTGTGATACTAGCACTTGGGATGCTGAGGTGTGATGCTAGCACTCAGGATGCTGAGGTGAGAGGGTGTATATTTGGTATATAGCCCAACACTGTCTCCACAAAAAAAAAAAAAAAAAAAAAAAAAAAAAAAGGCCAAGCAGTGGTGGCATACTTCTTTAATTCCAGCACTTGGGAAACAGAGGCAGGCAGACCTCAGTGAGTTCAAGGCCAGACTGATCTACAAAGTGAGTTCCAGGATGGACAGGACTATTACACAGAGAACTCTGCCTCAAAATAAATAAATAAATAAATAAATAAGATTTAGAGGGGAAGGGACTGTACACATGTGTTAAATTCTCAAAGAATTAATAAAGATGTGCTTTAAAAATAAAGAAATGAAAACTGAGTGGTTTAAATAGGAAAAATACAAGTACTGACAGAACCTCATAAAAAGACAGGAATTAGAGCATCTGGGGTAACTGTCCTCACACAAAGACTTCATCCACAGAAACCACCACCTCATAGAATCACAGCACAAAATAAAGGATTTGACCCTCACTCTTATTCACTCCCACCCGTCAAGCCTCAAACTGAGCAGTATCCAGGCCAGAGTCGCTCTTTGCATGGCATGACTGGGGGACCCCTTAGCAATCTAAGCACTTTTCAGGACTTTCTCCAATATGCCCTGCTACAGCATGGCTTCCAGTTGGGGTGCTTTGTCCAATAAAAGTCAGCAGCAGCATCTCCCTTTTTTGGAAATTCCAGTGGTGTCACCCAAGGACATTTTCCCCACACTGCAATACCAAAACACTATGAGTCTGGATATAATACAACAAAAAAACAAGTGAAACATCTCTCCTAGATGAAATCATAGTGACACAGGAGAGAGAAACAGCACAGAATTATATAGTATGGACCTGCACTGTTCAGCATGACAGCTTGCTAGTGCCAGTTGTGCTGTGCTACAAGCATAAAATGAATATACATTTTATACTTCCATGTTGACATATCATAGCAATATTTTGGACATATTAGGTTAAATACAAACTTTAAACATTTAACTTCATTTATTTCTTTTTACTTTGTACTATAACTACCAGAAAATTTTATTTTATTTACTCATTTATTTATTTGGTGTTTTGAGATAGCCTGGCCCGGAACTCACAGAGACAGACCTGCCTCTGCCTCCCAAGTGCTGGGATTAAAGCCACTACATGTGACTTAGGAAAAGAATTATATATGAAACTTGTATTTCTATTATGCAGTGTAAATTCGGAACAATGTATTTGAGATGGGTAAAAGGAAAGGAGTTAGACTGATTAAGTGATGTATTAAAAAGCATTTGTCAAATGGTTGGGGCTAAAGAGATGGCTTAGCAGTTAAGAGCACTGGTTGCTCTTCCAACAAAATTTTTGCAGCCACCATTGACTCCTGAGCTGCTTACAGTTCATTATCACAAAATTTTATCGCTTCTGCAATGGTTCTCAGCCCGTGGGTCTTGACCCCTTTTGGCGTCAAATATCAGATATCCTGCATATCAGATATTTACATTATGATTCATAATGGTAACAAGACTATAGTTATAAAGTAGCAACTAAATAATTTTATGGTTGGGGGGTCACCACAACATGAGGCACTGTATTAAAGGGTCCCAGAATTAGGAAGGTTGAGAACCACTGCTCTAGAGACTGTACAATGCTAGCAATATAACCTTCAAAGCATGAAGCAATATCCTGATAGAAGTAGTGAAGAATATGACAGATTTCTAGAGATGAGCTCTTTCTGCCCAGCACATCATTCCAGGCAAATCAAAGGCAATCCTAAAAAAGCAGGCCTTAGCTCCCAGGAACAAAGGTCCTACGCCAGTGACAACATGGCACAGGGAAATGAGAACCCCCAGCAAGATGAAAACCCACATGAGGGTAGCAGTTCTACAGCAAAGTACTAGAACAGCATGTTCAAATCTCTTGGTTCAAGAGAATGCTCTGATCCAGTTAAATTTCTTGTAACTTCTTTCTGTTCCTTTATTTTTAGAAAGGCTATCCTGGAACTTAATAGGTTGACCAGGTTTGTAGTGAGATATTCACTTTGTCAGCACCTATGGCACAGACCACACCCATTGGGGGTGGGGACAGGGGCAGATGTTACCTGGGGGAACTAAGTCTGAGGAAGGGGCTCCGGGAGCCCCTTGCTTGCAGCACAGAGACAGAACATCTGGAGGCATTCTTGGGACCAGGAACCTGCTGGTGTTCATCTGTCTATGTTGTAAGTTATTTCTCCCTGAATAAACATCTATTTCTATCTGTTTCTCCTGGTTCTTATTAAACCTCAATATAGGTTGGCTTCAAACTCACAGAGATCTGCCTGTCCTTTCTAAGTACTAGGCCACCACACCCAACTCCTCCTAGAATTTCTTTACTACTTGTCTGACTTGATACACAAGGTCATGCTGAAGTATGAGATAACTATATATATACATATATATATATATATATATATATATATATATATAAAATCTGTCTGTGTCTATTACATGTAAATTAACAACAAAAATATAATTTCAAACCTGTATCTACCATCCTCTACCCTTGGGATACATGCTAGGATGTGTGGTGTTCATGTACTCTGCCTGAAGGCTGAACAAAGCCTCTATGTACTAGAGTACACATGTAGTGAGATAGTCCTTCTGTAGCACTGACCATGCCCATTGGGGGGTGGAGCGATGGGCGGAGGTGACCTGAGGAAGGAGGTCGGAGGGGGCCAGGAAGGCGCTCTCTTTTTCTGGCGTGACTCGGACAGGAGAGGATCGGGTTGAATTTCCTGGTGTTTATCTGTCTAGGTTGTAAGTTATTTCTCCAAAAATAAACATCTATTCGGCCTATTTGTTTATCCTGATCCTTATTTACCGCATTATCTGGTGTCAGAAGTGGGATATCTGATCAGCACGGGAGTTTTGACCTGTTCCGTTTGCGACCTGGGCCGGTTCACCCCTCCTTAGGCAACCTGGTGGTCCCCCGCGCCTGGCTACTTGGGAGGCTGAGACAGGAGGATCGCTTGAGTCCAGGAGTTCTAGGCTGTAGTGCGCTATGCCGATCGGGTGTCCGCACTAAGTTCGGCATCAATATGGTGACCTCCCGGGAGCGGGGGACCACCAGGTTGCCTAAGGAGGGGTGAACCAGCCCAGGTCGGAAACGGAACAGGTCAAAACTCTCGTGCTGATCAGAGCCTAAATCTTTTCTTTAGACTAAAAGGGGAATTGTAGTGAGATAGTCCTTCTGTAGCACTGACCACGCCCATTGGGGGGTGGAGCGATGGGCGGAGGTGACCTGAGGAAGGAGGTCGGAGGGGGCCAGGAAGGCGCTCTCTCTTTCTGGCGTGACTCGGACAGGAGAGGATCGGGTTGAATTTCCTGGTGTTCATCTGTCTAGGTTGTAAGTTATTTCTCCCTGAATAAACATCTATTCGGCCTATTTGTTTATCCTGATCCTTATTTACCGCATTATACACAAGCTGAGGCTCTGTCCCCACAAATACATTCGGCAACAAAAGACTTCTAGGGAAGGCCTGAACTTCACCTGGAACCATCTCTGGGCCCAGCCCAGAGGGATTTGCCATGCTCCACAACTTCAACAAGAAGGCTAGCCTCTGCTTTTGTGCTAAGATCCAGGGATTCTCTTACCTTGACTTGTTCATTTGAGGTAACTGCACAGAAAACAATCTCTGTGAATCCCTGGGATGGAAACATCCGGAAACAGATACCACCAATGACACGGCCATCTTTAATTAAAGCAAGGGTTTTGTGTTTCCTGAAAGAATAAGGTTAAGTCTGAGCTTTATCTCTCTTGGTATATAAAACATTTTTGGAGATGTTTCTTGTTGACTAAGAAGCCTTGGTGGGGCAATGGGGGGACGTTCTTTCATCTAGACACCAGATCACCAGACAGCCATTTTCCTGTACTCTTCAGGGCAAGCCTACTTCAAAGCTCTCACCAAAACAAAGAATTTCCTAAGAAGAGCCTGAGTCTGAAAGTATGTGCTTAGAGCAGCTCAGGAACTGGCCGTGGGAGCCAGAGGAAGAGCTCAAAGTGATCGGCAAGAGTGGCACACATTTCTGAAGAATCCACACAGCGATAGTAATGTTACAGCAAAGAACATAGCATCCACATGTAGGAAGTGTGGAATCCCCACCAGACTGTGTCACTCTGAAATCACATTTCACATAGGCTGTCTGGTTAACTAGCTTAAAGTATTGCCAAATGGAGAAGTTTAATTCCTCGTTGTGGTTTTTTTGTTTGTTTGTTTGTTTGTTTGTTTTAAGATTTCATTTTTGGTTTTGTAGTATTGTGGACTGAACCTAAGGCTTTTTCATGACAGGTGAGCCTTCTACCAGTGAGCTATATCCTCATACTTTGATTTTTTTTTTTTCCTTAAAGTATTGGATTGTCTACGTTAACCCATCCTAAATGCCAATAATTTTCCCAATGCTTATAGAGCACATTGCATGAATAGGTTGTGCTGTACTCTGTACTTTGCCTGAAGATCCAACAAAACTTTGGTGCAACCTTACCTGTGGGTATTTTGGCTACAGTGGTACCTAATTAATACAGTAAAACCAAGAATCTATTGACTGTGAAGTAAAACACCCTAGTATTCCTATATTCTCATGGCTGAAAGGAATGTGGTACAGAAGAGTCCTCAGCTTGTTATTTTTTATTTCATTCTTTCATTTGTTTATTTGTGTTTGTAAGCATGTATGTACGAGTGCATGCCAAAATGCCACTCTTTCCCCCTACCCCTGTGTGTATGTCTCTCTGTGTGTATGCCTTTGTGTGTGTGTGTGTCCACGCGCGAAAACGCATGCACACATGCGTACAAATGCATGCCACTCGTGTGTGAAAGTCAGAAAACATTTCAGGGGAGTTGGTTCTCTCCTTCGACCATGTGAGTCCCAGAACAGAACCCACTGAGCCATCCCACAAACCCCAGCAATTTGAATTATAAATCAGTCTAATAATAAGGACATTTAAGATTTATTGACAAATTAATCTTAGTGATTTTTGACATGAAAATTATATCAGTATGACTATGTGTCCATATCAGGATAAGAAGCAGCTAGACTCAAAGGACTAAGTGTCACTAAATAGATCTCCCTTGCATTAAAGACAGAATTAAGAATGAGCTGAACTTACGGGTCAAAGACAAGCCGTGTAATGTACTCCTTGGGCATTCGGGGCAGCTGGTGAGAAAACACATTCTGTAGGCCCACCAGCCACATCAGGATCTTCTTGTTTGGTCTCTGGTTCAGGGAATTGCCCACCACATGGAATTCAATGACACCCCTGCGCTCTTCCAGCCTCGCCGCCTCATCTCTAGCTGAATGTGCTGACAGAAAATTGGTCTGGGATCCAGGAGACAAGAAAAGATTTCAAAGAGCACATCTCTGAAAGCAGTGGACTGGAACACAAGAAAGCTTTCCCTCTTTGAATAAGATGCTGGTATAAATTTCAGAATCTTAAGCACATGTGCATGAGAACACCTGTGCATCCACCCCTAACACCCCCACATACAGACACGAACAGACAAACTAAAAACATGGATTAAGTGTAGACCACTCAGTGATTATGAGGGATCCTGTGCAATCAGGGAGACTGGAGTTCCAGAATCCATGCAACAAGCCAGGTGCATTCGCTGTACACCTGTACCCTAGATTCAAAAAACTTGAGAGTTATAGAAAAAGATACTAGTCACCCTCTTCTGGCCTTTATGTGTACATAGGCATGGGAAACCACACACACACACACACACACAAATAAATGAATAAAGTAAGTAGGTAAAGCATTATGAAAAGATAGCATTGTATGGATTAGGCATCAGCAAACTTTTTTTTTTTTTTTGGAGACAAGTCTTGCTGTGTCATATAACCTGGCCTTGACCTACCATCCTCCTGCCTCAGCTTCCCCAGTAATATGAGATGTATACCAGAACTTCAGGTTAGGAAAAATTTTAAAAACAAGAACCAATAGAAAATATTTTTAGAAGAGCTGAAGAGATGGTTCAGTGACTAAAGGCATTTGCCTCACAATGTGAGGACCAGGGTTCAGATCCCCAGAACCTACAGAAGTCAGAAGTCAAAACAGTCTGGTGGTCTACTTGCAATTCCAACACTACAGCAAGCTGGCTTCTTAAGAGTAGTCAAAAAGCAAGTTACATGTTTATTTGAGAGAATATGGCACAGGCACTCATGTGAACACACAGATGACTGCAATTATTATTTGTAAGACAATATTTTAGGGGGCTGGGAAAGTGGCTCAGCTTTAACAGCATGTACTGCTCTTAGAAAGGACCCAAGTGTGGGTCTTAGCTTGCATATTGGGTAGCTCACAACTTCTGGTAACTCCAGTCTGGAGAATCTGACATGCGTCTCTGGCACCTGCACTCACACATAGACACCCTCCCATATGTACATGTAACTTAAACAACCAAATATTCTAGACGTTTTAAATACTATAGTCTCTCTTAACTGCTCAATTGCTGTTATAGCATAAAAGAATAAATAGAAACACTGGTAAGAAACACTTGGCATGATGTTCCAATAAAACTTCAAGGAGGGGGAGTGTGCTAGAGATAGGTCTCAGCACTTAACAGTGTCTGCTCTTCTGCAGAGGACGCAGGCTTCATTCCCAGCACCCATATTGGGATCTTCACAACTGCCTTCAACCCCATGCCCACTTCTAGCGACACATACCTGGCCTATAGTCAGACACAAAGACATTAATAAAGAGAAATATTAAAATTCTGAACCGGGGGGGGGGGCAGCGAGAAGGCTCAGCAGTCAGTAAAGGTGTGTGTTGCCACCCTTACTAGCTAAGTTCAATATCCCAAACTGTGTTAGTCAGGTGTGGCAGGAGATCCTTGGAAGCATTGCTTCTAGCTTGCATTCTGGAGTGTTAGCATGGAGACTTTGAACTGCCTTTTTGTGATGTTACCTTTTGTTACTGATACCCTTTGAGGTTCCTGAACCTTATCTGAGTTCTTCCTGAAGCTGTGGTAGAATGTGATTTTAAGGTGTGTGACTGTTGTTTATGCTCCATTTGTTTAATTCAGTGAAGCTGTGATTCTTTGCCTGTCTAAAACACCTGCTATTTTACAGGCCAATGGTGAGGCAGGAGCAAAGATAGGTGAGGATGGCAGGCAGAGTATAAATAGAAAGAGAACAAGGGAAGGAGGGCAACAGGGGCCGGACACCCCGCCTGCTATGGACTAAATGGACTAAAAGTGAAAGTAAGGTACACAGGAATAGAGAAAGATAAAAGCCCAAGGTCAAAGGTAGGTGGGATAATTTAAGAAAAGCTGGCTAAAAACAAGTAATAATAAGACTCTGTGTTATTTATTTGGGAGCTGGGTGGTAGGCCCCTCAAAAAGCCCAAAAAGCAAAAGAGTAAAAATATTTCACACAACATGAAGCATTCAAAGCTTTTGTAAAACTTAGTTATGGGAGGACTTAGAAAATCCACAAGCCTTGTGACTGAGAACTGCTTTGGCATCTGTTTCCTTCAAGGAACTTCAGATAAAAGGTTTTGGTATGTGGAAATTGACTTGCTAATGTGTAAGCTGTGTAACAGTAAAAACAGCACTTTGCAAATCAATGGTCAGTCAGTTCACCAGAAGCTGACTACCCTCCCTGCTGTTTAGCTAAACCTAAAATTCATCCTGCAGTGAACCATCTCCTCCATTCAACCTTGCAAAACAGAATATTGACAGTCGGTTTCTCTTGAGTCACTGAACTTATGAATCTCAATCTCAATCTCTCTCTCTCTCTCTTTCTCTCTCTCTCTCTCTCTCTCTCTCTCTCTCTCTCTCTCTCATGTGCGTGCAGGCGTGCATGCATGTGTAGAGGGAATTTATTGGAATGACTTACAGGCTACAGTCAAACTAAACCAACAATGACTACCTGTGAACAAAAAGCCCAAGAATTTAGTAGATGCTCAGTCTCATAAGGCTGGGTGTCTCAGCTGGTCTTCTGTATGTGTTGGAAACCTGAAGAAGTAGGCTCCAATACCAGTGAGGGAATGGATGTATTAACAAGGTGAGGATAAGCAGACAAAGAGCAAAACCTTCCTTCTTCCATGTCCTTATATAGGCTTCCTGCAGAAGGTACTGCCTAGTTGAAAGGTGTGGCCCACTTCAATATCCCTATCAAAGGTGGGTGTGTTGTCTTCCTGCCTAAAGATCCAGATCAGTGTTACAGTGAAAGCTTCACCCCAGCCCTTGGCACCCATGTACCCAAAGAATCTAGGATGTTATGGTGGAAGCTTCATTCCAGCCCCTGGCATCCATATACCCAAAGAGTCTAGGATGTTATGGTGGAAATTCCACCTGAGCCCCCCTCTCCCTCCAAGTTCTGCTGCATCTCAGAAAGCCTGCCAAATGATGGCCCCTCCCCCAGAGGTGCTCAAGACCACTCCCACAGGATATTTAAACCGCCACCCAGAAAAAGGACTTGTGGTTTTTCTGGTCTCTCATCCCCATCTCCTCTCTGGGCAGCTTTAAGGCCATCTGGGAGCACTGTATTCATTAAATGTGGGCTTTTTGTAATTTGTTTTGATTTGGTCTGATTTGGATTGCAGCATCGGCTGAGAGGCTTATCTGGGTGTAGAAATTTTTCACAGAGGTGTGTGTCTTCCTACCTCAAGGTCTGAATTAGAAGTGTATTTACCCACTGCAGACCAAGCAGAAAATCTCTCACAGATGTTCCCTGCATCTCTGGGTTGTGGTTCATTCCAGATATAGTCCACAACCCAGAACAGCCATCACACATACCAAGGCCCATTTGATGGCAGGAGAGAAACAATTCCTTCAGATGGCCTCTAAACTCCATACTCATACCATGGCACAAGTGGTCTTGTCCAACATGGGGTAGCTTTGAGGGTAATCTGGTATCACTGTGCTAAAAGCTACCCAGATATTTAACAACCAGCTTACAAAGACGTCTGAAAATGTTGCAGCTTTCTGGGCATGCAAGTACAGTACTAACTGTAGCACCAGATTGTGAGATGGGTCACTACCTCCCCACTTTACATCTAACAGACATGAGAAGTTATGAGAACCCTAAACAGAAGGAGCTCAGCTTTAGGTCCCCACAGACCTGAGAGTCCAGAAGGAAAGAATGCAGCACCCCATTCTCTGAATTATCCTTGGTATTGATAAAGAACCACAGAAACAAAGCAGTGTGAAACTTACTGATTTAATCGAGCAGAGACATATGGAAAAAACGGAAGTTGTATATAAACAACTACTCAGGCTATGTCTTCATTTCATGGAAATGTCTGGAGCCTTCCCTCCCTGTTCCTTGATGTCTTGCAATAAGATGCCAGCATCACTTTCAAAAAAAGTTTTACCCAAATTGATCTAAACTATTATATAGATCCAGAGACATTATGCAGAACTAGTCAACAAGACTCCACAACAAAGGCAACATTGCAAGAGAAGAGGAAGAGCCTGGAGAGCAGTTTGGGATTAAAGGAGACTAGAGACTGGACCATGGCTCAGCAAGGTGCTTACTCAGCATGCAAGAAGTCTGGGATTTGAACCCCAGCACCACATGAATCTAGTTTGAGGGTTAGGGTTATAGTTCTGACTATATAGTGACTCCAAGGTGAGCCTCCTACATGACACCTGTCCAAAAACAAAAACAAACAACAAAAAAAGGACACTGAAGAGATGAAATGAAAACTAAGTTCCATGCTTGGTTCCTAACTGAGCCTCCAACAACAGCACAACAGCAATACATGTTATGAATGGTGTTATTTAGTAAGATGGTCATTGGATATAGGTTGCATATTAGGTCATGGGTCAGCAAATTTTTCAGTGAAAAGTCAAGTGATGAACATTTTGTTTTGCAAGACATACAGTCCAAGCCACAACTGTCCGATTTTTCTGATATATGCAATAGTGTACAAATAACAGTCCATAAGAGCTGTTACTAGCCTAGCCTACTGGATCAGCAAATTTTTCAGTGAAAAGTCAAGTGATGAACATTTTGTTTTGCAAGACATACAGTCCAAGCCACAATTGTCCAATTTTTCTGATATATGCAATAGTGTACAAATAACAGTCCATAAGAGCTATTACTAGCCTAGCCTATTGGGATCCACCTTTACTCCTGGCTAGCTGGGAGGCTGAGTCAGAAAATTTACTTCAGCCCACAAGCTGAACAGTAGATTTGACTGGTATGCTATAGTTGGCCAACCCTAAACCAAAGAACCTTGTAACAAAGCTAAATTTACTGAGTCCTAACTCATGTGATTATGCAAAAGAATTGCATTCAGGAATTCAGGAAAATGAACTAGGTGTGATTTTAAATGATTTTAAAAGGTCCACAGGAGAGGCAAAAGAAAATAAACAAAGGGAAATGGCATGTGATCACCACTGAATCTCCAGGTGAAGTCCATGGATTTTCATCACAGACTTACTGATGGAGGTTTGACACTCGTCAAGAAAAGGCTCCAACTATTTGAAACTGTAGTTTGTGACCTTGTAATTGATATTCCTCAAGGGGGACCATATCTTGATTTGCCATTCTGCCCTCCTTACAATGACCTCCAGTTACTGATAACTAGCAGTGTATACTCAGCACCCCACTCTCATGTCTGACAGCGGGTGTGGCTGGCCAGGAGGCCCTCCCAGCTGCCTGCCTGTTTCCCCCTGCTGACCTCTGGTCCAAGCATCACTGCAGGATCTGTGATGGTAGACATGACCTCATTGATCAGTTCCACAGGAATATCCCCCATCACTCGGGATCTCTTGGCTTCCTCTGGAGCATGAGGATTGTTCATTTTCCTCTTTTCTCCTGTGATGTTCAAAAAGTAAAAACAGATGGTTTGAAATGGAAAATACATTTTGATGAATCTAACTTATTTCGGGAAGAGGATGTGGGGGTGAGGCAGGCTCTTATCATGTATCCCTGTCTGGTCTAATACTCACTATTTATAGCTCAGGTGAGCTTCAAAATTGTGGGAGTCCTGCTTCTACCTCCTGAATGCTGGGATAGATAACAGGTGTATGCCTGTTGTAATAGCACTGATGGTGAAAGGATGGAAAATACAGCCTAACAGCCCTTGAGTACGTGATCCTGGCCTAGTAAGATAACAGGAAATGAGCTGACTAACCACTTATCTGACTTCGGTAAACTGCTTGTGAAACCCCTGCCCCAGTCCTAACTGCCATCTGTCACCCCACCCAGGAGCCCGCACAAATGCAAACCTCTGGGGCAATAGAAAACTGATTGATCTATAAAACGCGGACTTGGATGATTTAAAATGATTGGTCTAGAAACTATAGAATGGCTTAAATTGATTGGCCTGCACAGCATGGCCTCTTGATGCTACGGGATTATTGGTTTGCAATGTGTAGGCTTTGTTGTAAACCCTATAAAAGCTGTCTCCGTTCTGCATCTGGGGTCCTCAGTACTCTACCCCTGCGTGGCATATGACTGTGCACTTGGAATAAAAATGTCCTCATGCATCAAGACCGCTTCTCGTGAGTGATTTGGGGTGTTGCCTTTCCTGAGTCAGAGCGTGAAGGTCCTCGCTCTGAGGGTCTTTCAATGGCTGCCACCAGCTTTCTCTCTTCCTCTCTTCTTTCTTCTCTCTTTACCATATCTTCTCCTACTCTCTCCCCTTCCCCAGTAAACTTCCCAGGTAAGTTCTGCCTATATGATATATTTGTCTCTCACCCGCCAAGGGATCTACCAAGGTCTCCCTCATGCCACATACTGTAATAGTTTGGTCTGATTATTTCTCCTTATAATCCTACTTATCTCCATTTAAACACCACACAATAGGTGTACACATGCATGCATGTGTATTTTATCAAAGTATCTTCATATATATTTGGAAAATATTAGTAAATTGTTTTATTTTTAATAAACACAATATCTGGGGAAATGACTAAGGTAAAAGAACCTGCCTTGTCACAACTGGATGATGGTGTGTAGAAGACTACAGATAGACCCATGTCTATCACCATGCACAAAACTCAAGTCCAAATGGATCAAACACCTCAACATAAATCCAGCCACACTGAATCTCTTAGAAGAGAAAGTGGGAGGTACCCTTGAACAAATTGGTACAGGAGACCGCTTCCTGAACATAACTCCAGTACCACAGACATTGAGATTGACAATAAACGGGACTTCCTCAAACTTAGAAGCTTCTCTCAGGCAAAGGACACAGTTGGCAAGACCAAAGGACAGCCGACATACTGGGAAACAATCTTCAGCAACCCTACATCTGACAAAGGGCTGATCTCCAAAATATACAAAGAACTCAAGAAACTAGTCAACAAAACACCAAATACCCCTATTAAAAAATGGGGTACAGAACTGAATACTGAACTCTCAATAGAGGAAATCAAAAAGGCTAAAAGACATCTCAACATCCTTAGCTATCAGGGAAATGCAAATCAAAACAACTTTGAGATACCATTTTATTCCTGCCAGAATGGCTCAAATTAGAAACACCAATGACAACTTATGCTGGAGAGGATGTGGAGAAAGGGGAACACTCCTCCACTGCTGGTGGGAGTGCAAATTAGTACAGCCATTTTGGAGATCAATATGGCGGTTCCTCAGGAAAATGGGAATCAGTCTACCACAGGACCCGGCAATCCCCCTCTTAGGCATATACCCAAATGATCCACATCCTTGCAACAAGGACTGCTGTTCAACTATGTTCATAGCAGCATTCTTTGTAATACCAAGAACCTGGAAGCAACCTTGGTGCCCCTCAACTGAAGAATGGATAAAGAAGATGTGGCACATTTACACAATGCAATACTACTCTGCGGAAAAAAACAATGGAATCTTGAAATTTGCAGGAAAGTGGATGGAACTTCAAACCATCCTGAATGAGGTAACCGAGTCACAAAAAGAGGAACATGGTATGTACTCGTTTATATATGGATTTTAAACATAGACCAAAGAATCACCAGCCTATAATTCGCACCGCCATAGAAACTAGGATACAAGGAGGATTCGAAGAGATTCATATAAGGTCCCTCAAAGAAGGGGAAAGGGACAAAAGCTCCAGAGTACATGGGGGGGGGAAGAGCAGTGAGTGGAGAGGGAACTAGGAGAAAGAGAAGGGGAGGAGAGGAAAGCACGTGGAACTATAGAAAAGAGGAGAGAGACAGACAGACAAAGAGAGAGAGAGAATGAGAGAGAGAGGACATAAAAGAGGGAGCCATTATAGGTTTGAAGAGAAAACTGAATCTAGAGAAATGTTCAGAGACCTACAAGACTGACCCCAACTAACAATTTGAGCAACAGTAAAAAGGCTACCATAAATGCCCTTCCCTGATAATGAGATCAACGAATAACTTATTCACCATTATAGAGCCCTCATCTAGTAGCTAATAGAAACAGAAGCAGACACCCATAGCTGAACACTGAGCCGAATTGGAATCCAGTTGCAGAGAGGGAGGACAAGACCAGGCTGCAGAAACACATAGAGACAGCTGACCTGAACAAGGAGGAGCTAATGAGCCCCCAGACTGATAGCTGGGAATCCAGCATGGGACCGACTCAGACCCCCTTGAACATGGGTCTCAGCTAGAAGGCCTGAGCAGTCTAAGGGACCTAAGACAGTGGAACCAGGATGTATTCCTGGTGCACAAAAGGACTTTGGGGGCATATCCCCCATGGAGAGATATTCCCTTAACCTAGAGACAGGAGAGAAGGCCTAGTACCTACTCCAAATGACTTGACAGATATAGATGACCCCTCCTGGAGGGCAGCACTCTACATGTAGAGTGGGGGGTGGGGGTGGGCGGTGGGAGGGCATGAGAGGGTGAAAGAGAGAGAAAGAGGGAAGGAGGGAGGGAGGGAGAGGGAACTGGGATCGATATGTAAAATAAAAATTTAAAAAATTAATATATAAAAAAAAGAACCTGCCTTGCAAATGTGTGCATCAAAATTCAGATCATCAGAACCCATAAAAGGCAGGTAGGCAAGGATGACAAACTTAATTCTAGCTCTTGCAAGGAGGAGCCCAATGTCTCCACAGCAAGCTGCCTAGGTAGACTAACCATCTGTGGGCTTTGGGTTCAGCTGAGAGACCCTGCCTCAAGGGAAAAAGTGGACAGTGATGGAGGAAGAATGTTTTTGTTTTGTTTGTTTTCCAAGACAGGGTTTCTGTGTAACCCTGGCTGCCCTGGAACTCCCTCTGTAGACCTGGATGGCCTGGAACTCAGAGATTTACCTGCCTTTGCCACCACAACCACCTGGCAAGGGAGACTCTTATCATAAGCCTTGATGATCCATGCACATATGCACTACAAACACTCACATGTATACCCTACACATATACACAGGAAAAATAATAAAAAGTTAAATAAATCATTTTAAAATGGATTATTATACCTTAAAAAAAATTATACTTCACAAGGTTAGCAAGGCCTCTGGTTGGGAAAGACATGCAAAGGCACAGAGAAGTTTCTCCAATGTTCCTACTGAGAATGTGGAACACAGAAGCTTTTTCTTTCTTTTAAGGCATGTAAACCTTTCTCATGTGACCCTGCTGGAGGTTGACTTGCTATGTAACCTAAATTAATCCTGAAATCCTAATCCTCCTGCCTCAGCCTCCCCAGTGCTAGGATTATAGCATGTACTACCACACACAGTTTGTTGTGACCTTTTCTCCTTTCTATTCTCATGCTTGGTTTTCCTGGCCTTTTTTTTTTTTTTTTTTTTTTTTTAACTATTATAACCTGCATTTATTTTTTTCATAGCTGGTGTGTGTGTTGGTGTTGTTGTTGCTAGAACCCAAGGCTTTGTGCCAAGCAGGCACTCTACCATTGAGCTAAATCCCCAGTCCAATAACTAAAAGAAAAATAAGAATAGCAATTTAAAGTCAGGCACAGTGATGCATGCCCTTAATCTTAACACTACAAAGACAGGCATATCTCTGTGAGTTTGGGTCCAGCCTGGTATTCACAGCAAGTTCTAGGACAAAAAGGATACACAGAACTACCTGTTTTAAGGGGGTGAGAGGAGAAAGTGGAGGAGTAATTTTTTTAATGTCTAAATGTACTTTGTTCCTTCACTATGAAACGCAGTGACCACAATTTAACACACTCCTCAGCTTCAAAAAGCACTATACTTTCAAGTACATACAGAAAAGTCTACATAACACTGTGTCTGATCCACTGCATGGTTCCAATTGTACCATCTCTATGAAAGTTGGTTTTGGAGATGAATGAGGGCTATCTTTAGATATCTGACCAACAAGTCATCATAGTACATGATTTTCATATGAACTTCGAAGGAGTTGCTAATGGCATTTCTTTATTTCTCCCCAGATGTGATTCCAAGTGCATCCATCTGATTTGTTGTTGATAACAGAATGAGGCAGCATCTCCACCTCAAGACACTGAATATTTCCTTCTTCTCAGAAAGAAAACAGATTTATTTAGTGTACTGTAATGATTGTGGGCTGGGCAGCAACAAATGGTGCTGCCTGTAGACAACACTGTATATCTCAGACTGACCTGTGGTGATGCCTCTGTCACAAGAATATATTATATGAAGTACAATATCCCCAGAGAAGGAAGATAACACACATGGAGGACAGCTGTTCCCCCCTCAGTGCTTTGGCCAAGTCACACCCAGAATGAAGACCACAGAGTTGTGGGTCAGTCTAACCAAAACTGACTGAAACTAGTTGAAGTCTGAAGGCTGCCAAAGGACATACCACAAGGGTGCCGTAATAACAAGTTTTTTATTTGCTTATTGGTTTTTTAGTTTTTTGAAACAAGGTTTCTCTGTGTAGCCTTAGCTGTCCTGGAACTCACTCCATAGATGAGGCTGGCCTCAAACTCGGAAAGATCCACCTGCCTCTGCCTCCTGAGGGCAAGTTTTCTATAATTATGGTTCTGGCACTATGGGTTTGTTTATTTTCAGAGCAATACACCCTCAAAGTCTAATGCAAAGTAACATCCAGCCATTAAAGTCATGAGGAAACATAACTTTGTGGGTCTGAACCTAGCTCTGGGGTCCAGGTGATGCTGAGTTCCCAGTGTAAGCTGCAGCACTCTTATTCCCTCCACAGCTTACCTGGGTTTGCTTCAAGCCCAGAAAAGCCTCTGCAGCCAGGACTTATTCTCCCTCCATTGATCTTCTCATGGGAAAAAGAGTTTGAACTGAAAGATCCTGTCCCAGTAGCAGGAGGACTGATCACTGTTCCAAGAGAAGGAAAGGAAGGTATTAGTTGATTCTTTCTTAGACAACAAGAAGCCCTGTCCATGTGAGACCATGAGGCCCTCCTATGACTTCCCAGCACCATAAAAGCCATGCTAAAGTAAAACCACAGAGAATCGAGATACTAGAGTAATGGATTATAACTCACCCAAGGCTCGTGGTGCTATTTGGGGAGGTTATTTAATACTTAGGTGCAGTTTTGCTGAAAAAACTACTTCAATGAAGGCAGGCTTTGGAAGTTTCCAGCCTCATTCCACTCCCGTCCTGCCTTCTCTGCTTCCCATGAGAATAAAATGTAATTGGCCAGCTCCCTGCTCCTGCCACCAGCTTCCATACTTTCTCAGCAATGATAGGCTCTTGCCCTCTAGAACCATAAGCAAAATAAACTCTTCCCTCTATAAGTTTGTTTTTGGTCATGGTGTTACATCATAGCAACGGAAAAATGGATACAGTGGGGGCGTGTGTGTGTGTGTGTGTGTGTGTGTGTGTGTGTGTGTGTGTGTGTGTTGAGATAGAGGGCACACACACATGGAAAGTGAATGGGAGGAGAGCAATTCTTATTTATTGTGTGTCCTATCCTAAGGCTGGAATGCCTTGTTTTAAGCTTGTAATTGCTCTGCACATCTGACTTTTATTTCCAGATAAACAAGCTGGAAAGATGGCTCAGCCATTAAAGGCTAGGCTCATAACCAAAAAAATATTTCCAGATAAACTGTGCTAGTGGTTTCCATCACACATTGTAGTATGTTGCTTTGCTGGGTGTGCCACTGATTTGTAGCTAAACACTCTCAATAACACTGTAGCACAGGTACCCAAGGAGGTCATTCACTGAGGTTTCTTGGGCAGCAGTTACTCATTCTGCAGATGTTAGCAGCAGCCAAGTCAGGGGATGAAATAAGCAAGCCAGGTGACAATAAGCCACCAACCCCTGACACTTCTACCTGTAGGCAACTGAATTACAATAAAAAGGAGGTACAATAGCAGCACCTGCAGTCCCAGATACTTGACAGAATGCTGCTTCAGCCCAAGAGTTTAAGGCCAGTCTGGGCAACGTGGAAAGTTTCTGCCTTCTACACCTCTAAAAGGTAACTCAAAATGTGCTAAAGAGCAAAGCTGGCACATGGGCTTCTGGATCACAAAGTATCAAGAAGCAATGTGAAAAGAAGAAGCTCTAGGTACCCTGAAGACACTGGAGTAGCTGACAGAACTTCAGAGTCAGTATTACGACAGCAATTTATTGTGTGCAGAAATGGCAATGTAGGTGATTACACGCTACTATCCCAGCAAAAAACACATTGTAATTCGAGCAGAACAGGAAAGGGCAGCTCACATCTGACTGCTTCATGTAACACTAAAGTATATAATCTAGCTTAAGGGTACAACCTTAGCCACAGAGACAACCTCTGCTGTCTATCTGGTGCTATGGCAGGTAACTTGGCCAGAAGTGAAACAGAAGGGGAGAAGTTTAATTAGGCAAAAGTCATACAGAGATATATGTCCCAGAGATCTTTCACCAAAGAACTAAGCAGCAATGGTTACCCCAACTGTACATGTGCATGTATAAAGATGGACTTGTAAAGACAATAGGAAGAACAACCTGCCCCAGTTGAAAACTACTTTACATACTGAAACCAGTATCACCATCTTTCCCCCACCATTCCACCATTTTTCATAAACCAGATATCACAGTTGAAAACACCACATTGAGACTTGATTCCTGGGTGAAGCTTGCCAGTGACTACTATTGTGGTTTCAATGTGAAATGGCCCCCATAGGCTCATGGAGTTGAACAACTGGTCCCTAGCTAAAAGTGCTGTTTTGGGAGGTCACTGAATCATTATGAAGTAGACCCTTGATTGAGGAGATACATTCACTGAAGGGAGACTTTGGGATTTTATGGCCTGACCCCTGTTTTTGCTCTCTTGACTTCCGGTGTGATGAAATGTGATCAGTCAGCTTCCTATATCTGACACCATGCCTTCTCCAGCCTGCTACGTGGCTTCCTGGTCATGATAGACTATTCCTGTAGAATTACAATCTAAAATAAACCCTTTATCCCCTAGATTGCTTTTTGTCAGAGGATTTTCTTATAGCCACAGAAAATAAGATGAATACAATTGCTAATAGAAGCATCTTCAAAGAAGCCTGCATTTAATGACAGAGCTGTGCTTCCTAGAAATTGATCTTCCACTAATTGCACTATGCAAACTAAGACTTAACGAGACTTTAACTGTTTGGTTTGTGTTTGCACTGCTCCTCAACATAGACACATTTACATAATGTGAGTTAGAACTGACTTGTTCGTCATTATAGTAATGTAGATAGAAGACTTACTGGCTCGTCACCCATTTCCTTATGAGAAACCCTAATAAATGCAAAGTGAACTACAACTAACACTCTTCCTTGATGTTCCTGGTTGCTTTACAATTTATGTAAAAGGAAATGTACCTGTCTGGATTCCTAGTGGGCTGGTTCTAGAAGAAGCTGAAAGAAAATCTTGATCCCAGATAGGAGAGTTTTGACTATATACTTCTTCTTCCAACATGGACAGAAACCTAGGCACAAAAATAAAAACAAGAGTAAGCTTCTAAAAATTATAAGTTTTCCAAGGTTCCAAGACCATCTTTGAAGAGGGAACAAAAAGATTGTAAGAGCAAGATATCAGGAAGGACTAGAGCAATACACTGTCCTCTCTGGACATGACAATACCACTGCACTCAGTAACTCACAGCATCCATGGCTGGCTGCCCAAGACTTGCATAAGAACAAGCTAGTCAATATTCCAGGATAGAAAGAGGGCAGGTCTTAGAAATCCCCACCCCAGCTGAGGAGTTGTTGACAGGTTCCTGGGGAAGGGAAAGTCAGTTTTAAGGGTGTGTCTCTTGGTAAGTCAAACATGCCACAGTGGATGGGCCCACAGTGATAGGTATAGGAACAGCACAAATTGAACTTGATGGGTCATTTTGAAATAAAAGATGACACAAAGGGGAGTAGAGAGGTGAGGGTGGACCTAGGAGGAGTTAGTAGAGATGAATGTGATCAAAGTGCATGAAATTCTCAGAATTAATAACAATATTTTTAATTAAAAACAGGAGCAGGCAAAATGACTGAGTGGTCAAGACCTTCACAATTCTTCAAGAAGACCCAGGTTCAATTCCCCGCACCCACATGGTGGCTCAAACATCTGTAACTTCAGTTCTAGTGGATCTGATGCCCTCTTCTGGCCTCCACGAGCACCATGCATACACTAGGTGCACAGATATACATTCAGACAAAACACCTACACAAATAAAATTTAAAACTTTTTAAATAAATAAAAAATAAACCTTTAATTTATTACCAGAAAACAAAAGCCTCAGTCTCTCATAGTAGCTATCCTAGAACAGGGTTTCTATTTCAGCCTAAAATTTATTAAACTGATGACTCAAGTGATGATTTCAGATGAGCATTCCTGCATATTCAAATACAGAAAAGTGTTTCTACAAACATCTCCCTTTTATTGTGCCTAGCACTGGCTACAGAGCAACAATGCACTAAGCATATACATCCTTGGTGAAGTCCCCAGCAGACAGATGCCAGCTCTCTGTGTAGCTGTCATTGGCATCACCACTGCCAGTGTTATTATGTAATGATTAGGCACCTGCATTGCTTCTGGAGCTTCTGGAACTTCATACTGAATCACCTCACCACCACTGTGAGCTATGCATCTCCTTAGCACACATCTGTGCACAACTCTTACTACTTGACAGTGTTGTGAGAGATGGATGCCCTTGCTAAGCTTCATGAAGCTACTGTAAAACACTACACCCATGGAAACATGGAAAGTGCACCCATGACTAACTGAAAGGCAGGGTGCAAACAGACCAATGGTGAATTATTCCCCAACCCACTATAAATCACCCACATCTCGAGTTTTGGAGACCAAAAGCAACAGATGCCCCAATGTCACCACAGATTACTTTTTACCACTTCCGATTCAGGAAAAAGAAATAGAAATAGAGAAATAGAGAAAAGAGAGAGAGAAACTAGTAAATGCAGGTGTAGGAAGAAGAAAAGGAGGAGGATGGTTTTTTGTAACAATACAGAGTGATGAAGAAGGCACAAGTTAAAACCAGTACAAGAACCCAGGACTAGCAGCACTGATCTATATTTCCAGCTACTCAGGAGGCAGAAGTAGAAATATCACCATTTCAAGACGAGTTTGGACAATTCAGCAAGGGACTCTATTTAAAATAACAAAACAGCAACAAACATGCATTCATGAGTACACAGACACAAGAAAAAAGGAAGAAAAGCAGGGGAAAGGCTAGGGATGTGGCTAGCATGCATGAAGAAGTCCTAAATTCAGTTCCTATACCACAAAAATTAATATTAGCTGGATATATGCCTTTCGTCCCAGCACTGGGGAGGCAGAGGCAGGTGGATCGCTGAGTTTAAGGCAGCCTGATCTACAAATCAAGTTCCAGAACAGCAAGAAATTGGGGCTACACAGTGAGACTGTTGCATGAAATAAATAATATGGGGGAGAGGGGAAACTAGGAGGAGTGGAGGGAGGGGAAAATGTGGTCACGATATAATGTATGAGAAAAATAAATTTAAAAAAAAAAAAAGGAAATAACAAAGGCAACCAGTGAAAGAAAAGGCGACATATAAAGATAGGAAGAAGGGTATGAAATTCAGGAAAGAATCAGAGTCCTCACTGTGTGCTGGGAAAATAGGTCCTAGCTCTCTATCTGACACATACGGCCAGATTCAAAAAGCACCTTAGACTCACAACATGTGTGGTTCCACAGTCAAAACTGTAGGTATAAACTTCCAAGAGCTTTGAATGTTGTCATACACTATGAAAGGGATTTAAAAGAAGTGGGCGGTAGTTTTACCCTACCATTAGTAACAGACAAAGGAAAGAGAGCAGCCTTGATTTCTCAGCTCAGTGCACAGGCATGGCAGAACTGTGACTTGAGAAACAACACACTATAATTAGCAAATATCTACAAAGAGCAATATAATTTTGCTATGGGGAAAAAAAACATGTCACTATACAAAGTAATTAAAATCTCTCCATTAGCACTGTAATGGATATGGAGCTCAGGGTCCCTCTTAATTCTTTGACAGAGATAAATAACTATGGTCTGAAGGCAGAATGTTTCTTAAGGATCAAATTAGAAACATTAGTGTGAAACGGTTCTAACATGGAGGAAAGGAGCTAAAAGGACTGAAAAGTGGCTTCTGTGAGGCTGCATGATCAGAATCACACTCCTTCCATACAGCATGCAACCTATACTTTCATCCGGAATCCTTCTCATATGTGAGTTTTCTTAGTAAAAGTCGATAATGCAGATGTTGTATACTTGGTTCCAGGCCTTCAACATTATCCACAGCATTCCCAAAGCCAGCCTTTGGATGCAGAGCAGTTATGTAGAGTCCCATAATCTCAATCAGAAAGCAATCTCTATTGTTGTTCTCTCTGTATGTGTGCATGTGTTTGTGTGTGAGCACATTCATGAGTGTGTGTACATGAGCACAGTCATGTGCACTCCCACACGTGTGCACGTGTGCACCTGTGTATGTGTTTGTGTGTGCTTACATTTGAGCATGCAAGCATATGTAATGCTGGGAATGTGTGTGTGTGTGTGTTTGTGTGTGTGTGTGTGTGTGTGTGTGTGTGCTTACATTTGAGCATGCAAGCATATGCAATGCTGGGAATAAAAACCCCTGATAGACAAAAACTCTGTCACTGAGGGGCACTTCCAGTCCTTGGATCTTTTTGTTTTAATTTTTTGTTTTGTTTTGTTTTTGCTACTTTACTTTTACTTTTTAAATTAGCTTCAGACATAGACTTTTGATACATATTTCAATTTAGCTGACCCTTAGCCCCCAACCCGGGACCTACCTTATAATTAAAAATTAAGAAAGTATGTCTAGAGCCAGATTTGGTGATGCATACCTGTAATTCCAGCACTAAGAAGGCTTAGGCAGAATAAAACTATAAATTCAAAGCTAGCCTAGATTACAGAATGAGTTCTTGTCTCAAAACAAGAACTGCTAACGTCTTTCCTGAAATACAAATTGGGTAATTCAATAACAATATCTTGATAATAAAACTCAGTTTTTCTGTGGTTGAAGATATGGCTCAGTAGTTAAGATACTGCTCTTGTGAAGAGGACCCATGGGGCAGAGAGATGGCTCAGAGATTAAGAGCACTAGTACTGGCTCCTCTTGCAAAGGACCTGAGTTCAGTTCCCAGCAACCACATAGTGGCTCACTGCCATCTATAATGAGATCTGGTGCTCTCTTCAGGCATGCAGGCAACATGCAGAACACTGTATTCATAATAAATATTTTTTGTAAAAAAGAGGACTCACGTTCAATTACCAGAACACACATTCAGTGTGTTCACAACTGCCTGCAACTCCAGTTCCAGCAAAACTAAGCACCTCTGACCTTCTCAGCCATCAGTGCTTATATATACAAACCACACAAAGGCACATACACATAATTAAAAATCAAATAAATCCAAATATTAGTTTTTCCAAAAGCATAAATTCAATAATCTTTGATCAAAAAATACAAAACTGCCTCTCTCACTATGTTCCAAATGGATAGTTTCCAGTGGAACAGGGAAGAAATGCTGGGTCACCCCTGGTGGGACAGTGAAGAAATGCTGGGTCACTCCCTGTAGTTTTTGAATCTTTACTCTTCTCCACTATGTACCAAACTAGGAAGATTTTTTTTAAAAATTTTCATCCACCCCCCCCCAAAAAAAACGCAACCATCCCATTCACACCTTGCTGTCTTTGCTCAATAAACTGTGAGCTGTAACCTCACTTACTTTCAGCCTTAGCTTAAACTCATGGGGATGTAGCTCACTGGCAGACTACATGCCTAATGTGTGAGAACCTAGGTTTAGCCCCAAGCATTGAATAGGGAAACAAAATCCTTATGGTCCCAAAATCAGAATATAGCACTTGAACTCCTTTTTGCTATATTTTCTGAAAAAGTATGTATCCACCAAAGCAAGAGCCAAGAGTCACAGAGAGTATGCATTCAATAAGCAATGGCTCAGTGGTACAAAGCTGAACAGAAGGAAGCTTCCAGCCCATCTCTGGCAGGCTGCTTTTGAAAGGGTGAAAGCCAGGAGTGAAGAGACTGGAACTTCACCAGGACTCAGGGAGGACTGGCCAATGGGTTCTTCTGTACACCCTGAATGGACAGAATGCTCCCCCTCATCCATCTTTAGCATCCTTGTAGCTGAAATACGTAGAGCAAAATAAGGGCTTGGGCCTGCACAAGACTAGCCCTCTCAAAAGTCAGTCACAGAATTAGACACACCTCACTGATAAACTATCAGTACTGAGAGACTCTGGGATGGAGACACACTGTCTTCAGTTATGTGCCCACTGGTAAACCCACAGAATACAATGGATAGTTTCAATCCCATGACCACAGACAGTCTTGGCAGAACACAACAGGGTACTACTAAACAAGAAGATGTGAATGTGGAAAAGAAGTTAGTATGGAAGAGGGGCTATGCAATACATTATATGCTTATATATAATTGTCAAAAAACAAATTTGTTACTTTAACAAGAGATAGTCAGATGTTGTGGTGATTTGAAAGAAAATGGACTCAGAAGTGTGTCATTGTGGGGGACAGGTTTTGAGATCTACTATGCTCAAGTTACAAAGTTGCTTCCTGTTGCTTACTGATCAAGATGTAGAACTCTGAGCTCCTTCTCCAGCACCATGTCTGCCTGCATGCTGCCTTGCCTCTCACATGCTTCACAGTGTGTAAGCCTGACCCAATGAAATGTTTTCCTTTATGAGTTGCTATGGTCATGTGTCTCTTCACAGCACTAGAAACACTAAGACAGAAGTGGCAGTACACACTCAGGAGGCTGGGGCAGGCAGACATCTGTGAGTTTGAGGCAAGTGTGGTCTATATAGTGAATTCAAAGACAGCCAGAAAATACAAACAAAAATAAAATAAGAACAGGTTTGCTGTATGAAATGCAGAGAACTCTCCTGGGAAGTGAGAGTCCTTCCTCTCAGGACTCTTTCTCTGATGTTCATGATTTTGGCTCTAAAGTAGGCTTTAGCATTTTCTCCACAACCTCAGACCCTGGGATAAAGGAAAACCTCACAAGCAACACACCCTCTTACTTTGGGAAATGTGTGAGGATTAGCGTGCGCTTCTCAAGAGGCAATTTGTCTTTTTCCTGCCTGGCTTGCTCCAAGAGTTGTCGTCTCATGATGGTGAAGACTGAGCGAAGCAATGTTCTCCCAAACACCTTTGTGGTTTCATACCGAGGTAGGCTGTCACAGAACTGGGGTACATTACAATAGCACAACCACCTGTAAGAAGAGCAGATAAGTGCCATCAGTGGTCCACCAAGTCCCAGTCATCCAAAACACCCAATCACAGAGACCTAGATGATGGAGCTTAGCAGAAAGAACTAGGCCTTTGATGACAGCCAACAAGATCACTACCAGGTAGTGCACCTGGGATGAGAGCAGCTGGCCCTTATACACACACCTGTGACTCCACCCATGTGGGACTCCTCCCATTCTGTCATCATGCAGGAAACCTGAAATCCAATACTGTCAACATGGAAATATTACATTCTCCCATGCCCAGTTCCTTGCCTATAAAACAGGGACAAGTCATAGCTAATTCACTGGATTTTCTATGGTATGAGATAGCATGTTTAAGGTACAGAATGAAATTATAGTTCAGGAGCTATGGCCTACAAACCCAGCACTCTGAATGCTGAAGTGGATGAGTACTGAAGATTGTGCCCAACATTCCTGCATGCCTACAGGGAAACGCCTAAGGGCCATGGAAGAAAATTTGTACCTAACTCATTGAACACCAAGGGAAGTATGGCCACCTGCCTGGGTCACTGAATCTTGGGAATTCAAAAATGCAGCATAATCAGATGTGCTGTGTGGTATAATACTTTCACTGGTTCATGTAAAGTAAGATTGATAGATCACATCAATTAGAAAACATATTCATCTGTTACTATTTTTAATAATAGTAAGCATTTGAAAAATGCACATAATATCAAATCTAAGTGGCCTAAATGACCTTGTCTAATTGCAGAGAGTTTAGAAATGACTGCTTTCTATAAATTATTTGGTAGGTATAATATATTTTAATAGTATAAAGTACTTAATTTATGTTTAAATTAAAGAAGGAAGTATGTATATAAAGCAAGGTTTGGGACATAGCTCAGAGGGTACAGTTTTCTTAACACAAGCAAGGCCCTGGGCTTGATCCCCAGAACTGAAAAGAAAAAAAAAAAAATACATAAACTGTATAAGTGGTAAAGAAAGAGGAAAAGCAACAGAGACATTCCCATTCATAAGATCACTCAAGGGAAGTCACATGCTGCCTGACAGCCAAAGTTCCATCCCGAGACCCAGATGGGAGAAGGAAAGAACCAATTCCTACACACTACATAAATATAATGTAATAGAAATAAATAAATACCTATGAAGCTAGGCATGATAGCCCAGAACTCAGGTGGCTAAGGTAGGAGTACCACTAAAGTTTGAAGCCAATCTGGGCTAGCTAAATATTAACACTGTTCCCTTACACACACACACACACACACACACACACACACACTTTTCTTTCTTATGATATATGAATGAGTGAATGAAAAACATGAATGAATTGCCTAGGCAACACTCTTTTACCACTGAAGCTGTGGGGAGAAGGTAAAGAGTTTTAAGACTATTTAAAACCCAGTCAAGTGTAGGAAGTAGTAAGCTTTGAACAACTGTTGCCTATGAATACTCTGTGGAGGATGGGAAAGGAACCAGGCTTCCTTGATCTGACCACAGGTCTGCAGTGAGCTGCCAATAGGGGCCATCTGATTTGGAAAACTCCTTCCAACACTGATGCTAGAGAATGAAAAGAATCAAAAACAGCCCTGTGTCAGCAGACACAGACCGCATCTCGCAGGAACAGCAACAAGCACAAATCATGGGAGTCCCAGAATGCAGCTCTAAACTAGAAAAACACCTTTGGAATGTGTCATTTTGCAAACCATCCTCTCTGTCCTCCCTTTAGTGAGGCCACCACATGCAAGGTGAAAGAAGATGGAAATGAGCAGCAAATCACTGGGCACATCTGTGATCTCGGGTTTTTGTTTTTGTTTTTTCACTTCATCCTGTACCTAACCCCCATACTACAGAATGGGTAGTAGCAATGGAGCAGTAATGTTTCACTTTGGAGAAAGACTTTCATGACCATACACACCTATAATTTCCCTTATCTGGAAGGGTAAGGCAGGAAGGTAGCAGGTTCAACACTAGTCTAAGCTACACAGGGAAGTGGGAATGGACAGAAGGATGGAAAGAGAGAAGATGGGAGAAAAGAAGAAAGAGGCTTTTTGCTTGCTCCCCGTCCCATAGTCATACTCTATGATCTAGCCTGGCCTTCAACTCACAGCAATCCTGCTAGCTCATATACCTGGGTACTGGGGTTACAGGAAACTAAGAAAAAGTATTACAGACAAATTTCCCTCATGAACAATGCTGCAAAAACTTATTAAAATACTGGCAAATTGAATCCAAGAAAATGTGGTGTACTACTCAGCGTAATAAAACAATGACATCTTATAGAAGCAGATGCAGAGATCCAGAGCTAAGCCCTAGGTCCAGCTCCCAGAGTCAAGTCAAAGAAAGGGAGAAGTGACAATATGAGCAAAGGAGTCAAAACCATTTTGGGGATACCCACAAAGACAGCTGACCCGAGCTACTGAGAGCTCACCCACTGACTCTGGACTGACATCTTTGGAATCAGACTCCTGAATGCAGGTGACAATGGGTGGACTGTTTATAAGGCCACTGATAATGGTCCAAGATCTATCCCTAGTATATGAACTGGCTTTTTGGAGCTCATTCCCTATGGAGAGATACTTTGCTCAGCCTAGACACAGGGGCAGACTTCACTGACTCCCCATGGAAGGCCATACCCTCTGAGGAGTGGACAGGGGTGGGGGAGGGGAAAGTAAGGGAAGAGGGATGAGGAGAGGGAGGTAGAACTTGGATTTATATATAAAATTAAAAATAAAAATTAATTAATTAAAAAAAGGAGTTGCAGTGGTCATAGGGTCTCTTCCAGCAACAGAACCATAACTAAGACAGAAAGAGCATCTGGGGATGAGAGGAGCTGGTGATAAACCTTAGTAATCAGAAGTCCAACTCCTTGTAACTCTGATTATCCTGACACTATTTATGATTTGACATTAAAATACAAGAAAACAGGGCCAGAGTTATAACACAGTTTGTACATTGCTTGCCTTGCATGCAGGCCCAGAATTCAGTCCTCAATACTGCATAAACCAGGCTTGATAACCTTCATAACGTAACACACTTTTAATCAAAGTAACTGGGAATTTTCCACATTGATCATATAGATAGATGGCAATATTTTTTTCTTTTGTTATGTTTTGGTTTGTTTGTTGTTTATTGAGACATAGTTTCTCTATGTAGCAGTCCTGGCTATCCCAGAACTCACTTTGTAGACCAGGCTAGTCTCAAATTCTGCCTCTGGATTTCTTGGATTAAAGATGTATATCACTACGCCCGGCATAGATAGCTATACTTTTAGTGTTCTTACTATCTCAACTCCTCAGAGTTTCATGCAGGCTTGTCTTGAACTCAAAAGCCTCCTGCTCCAGTCTCCTGAGTACTGGAGTTAAAAGCATGCACCACTGGGAGGTTCATTTTCCCCATATCTGTGTGGTTCTGACTTACATGACAGCCAGCTGATACTCTATGAAGGTGGCATTTCTGTTACAAGGATGGCAGGTAATAAATACAATAAAAATTTTAGTTGTGTTTTTTTTTTTTTTTGTTAGTTTGTTTGTTTGTTTGAAATAGTCTCTCTTTGTAGTCCTGGCTGGCCTGGAACTAGCTAAATGGTAGAGACTGGCTTCAAACTCAGAGATCCATTTACCTCCCAAGAACTGGGATTAAAGGAGTATGCTACCAGGACTGGCTAAGTTGAAATTTAAATCTTGAAATATTTTTTTCTTTTATTCATAATGGTAACAAACAACACTGTTAAATCTGCTTCATTTAGTTTGTATATTTAGGTAGGGTCTCCTGTAGCTTAATCTGGCCTTGAACTCCTGATCCTCCTTGTTTTTACATGCTGAGGACTAAAATTACAGGTGTGTGTTGCCACAGGTTGTTTTTTGGTTTTTTTTATTATTATTATTGAATAAAGCTTTACAGGTTACTCTGAAACAAGTACCATCATCTCTGAATCCAGTATCGCTAAAGAAAATACCATTTTGCCACATTTCCAAGCTAATGTTATATTCAATGAGTATGGGGCTTCTTATTTTAGCTCCCAACTTTGCTGGGTTCTTCTCCCCACTTGGCTTTCTTCATCAAAGGACATGATAGAAAATGCAGGGAGTTGAGTGAATCTACCTTCATTTCCTGATATTATGAATAGAGGCTCTTGGTCTAGAAATGAACAGGTCCCAGTGCATGTGGGAACTTGGGCTGCCTCCACCTTTGCCTGTAGGCTATGGATGATGAGCACCAAAAGGTTCCTCTGCTGTTTCTATCAGATGCCATCACAGCTTCAAAGATCACATTCAAATACTCACTATAGACACAATTTTTTGGGGGCTACCAGCTCACAAAAAATGACATGGAGCCTTATTAATTTTGAAAGCTTGACCTATAGCTTAGACTTGGCCCACTAGCACTTACAATTTAAATTAACACATTTATTTTAATACATGTTTTGCCTCATGGAATTTTACCTCTCTTCCACCTTGCACCTCCTGTTTTCTCTGGCATCTCTCCCTCACCTAAATTCATCTCCTCTCCTTCTCCTGTGACCAGAAGTCCCACTTAAACTCTTCCTGCCTGGCTATTGGCCATTCAGCTCTTTATTAAACCACTCAGAAAGTGCCTTGGCAAAGACACATGTTCACAGTGTACAAAGAGATTATTCCACATTTCCCCTTTATGTCTAAATAAAAGAAAAAAAACTTTCAACTCTAATATAATAAAATTATAAACAATAAGAACAATTCTCAGATAAAAATTATATTCACAATGTCCAGGTCATCTGCATGTGACAAATTCAGAGAAAACATTCCATTATCTATCCAATCTTGGTGGCTCCAAAGTTTTATTCCTTGAAGAATTCACTTCTTATCCTAACTTGTATTAGGTCTATTTCTTTAGACCTCAAACTATTTTCTTAAACTTCAAAACATTTTCTTAGATAAACAATATAAGCTTTTATGTCTCTCAGCCTTGTACACTTTACACCTCTTTTGTGGGTATCTTTTTTTTTTTTTTAATTTAGTAACAAAGGCAACTATAACAACTATTTCATCTTCAACTCCATCAGGGACCCAAGAAGGATATACTATTACTTGAGTAAATAGGGAGTGCAACTTTCACCACTATAGAAATGACAGCAACAACTGGCTACCTGGACAGTCCAAAGGCTCCTCCACAGCCTACAGGCCTAGAGTTCTGACAAACATTTCTGTGAAGCAGGAAATTTGAAGGATTGTACCACCTTGCCTTGGCAAAGTTTGGCAATCTTATTCCTTTGTGTTCTGCTTGTCCAGTTTGTACAGTATGCTGTCAGCAGTCAAAACAGCTTGCCCAAATGGCTAGCTTTGTCAAAATGAAAGTAAATTCCATGTTGAGGTCCTTTAGTGCCCATTATACTTTTATGAAGTAGACAGGTACTGCCAGGAGCAGATGTGTCTCACTGTCATAAAAAAACCTTAGGTTATTAAAACATCTTAAATGTAGGACTCTGAACTGTTTGGAGACCACCTATCTATCTACAATACATCAGTTTAACTGTGAAAACATCCCTAACATAACTACAAGTTTGATTGTCATAAATGATTAACTGTTAACCTGTCTTTCTTATTATCTGATGGGGAAGGTCCTTCTGTATGTAGTTAATATGTTTCTCTTACTGGTTGATGAATAAAACACTAACTGGACAGTAGCCAGGAAGGAAGTATAGACAAGCTACCAGACAAGGAGAATTCTGAAGAGAGGATACAGAAAGAAGACGCCAGGGAGACAACATGTAGCTACCGGAAAGATAGGATGCAGGACATTTTCCAGTAAGTCAAGACCACATGGAAAGACAAAGATTAATAGAAATAGGTTAATAATTAAGTAAGCTATTGGCCAAACAGTTCTTAATCAATATAAGCCTCTGTGTATTTACTTGGGACTAAAAGGCTGCAGGATCAGGTAAAATAGAAATGTCCATCTTCAGTTATCCTTAATAGCTTTCAAAGACTAGAACTTTACAGTATATGTTTAAATGAGCTGCATAGATATAATGCCTTGAATAAGAACAGAAACATATACAGTATAACAAAAATAACCTTAAATTTGTATCAATATATGAAAATACCTTAAATAAAAGTAGAAACATATATAGCATAACAAAAATAACCCTATATTTATAGTAATGTAAAAAAATCTTAAAACAAGGGTATAAACATATATTTATATATAGTACAACAAAAATAACCCTAAATTTGTATCAATATACAAAATCCATATCAATGTAAAATATTTGAGATTAATAGTTTTTTGTTTTTTGGTTTTTAAAGGTCGTTATTGGTTTGGGGTTTTTGGTTTGTTTGTTTGTTTTCTTCCAAAGTAGATTCAATGATTTACCCTTTCATCCTATTATTTCTATATCCCCCCTTTTCTATTCAGAACAGGATCCCTGAATCTAATTTCCTTTGTTTGGTGCCCTCCCTGACTATGTCCAATAACAACTGTAAGCAACCCTACCAAATGATGACAAACCACCATCATATGACCAAAAATCATCCACCCCATGTGGATGTTGTGATCTTATAATCAGTTCCTGTTTTCTGGGGAGTGATGGCATCTTTAGGGGACCCTGAAAAAAAATTGAAATAAATATATGGAATGCTTCAATGAATGAATGTGTGTCATCATTGCATAGTGGCCATGTTAATCTTCTCTGTATCGTTCCAGTTGAAGCGTATGTGCTACTGAGGACACTCTTGTTCAGTTCTCCATTATTCTTGTTTATCATATAGCTACACAATCCCCAGATTGGCAGACTGTGTTTTAGACAGCACTGTGTATGGGTGCAAATAACTCCCAAAATCTTCTCTGCATCTGTTTTATGCAAGACAGCAGTGCAAATTCCCACAGAATATAACTTCATGAAAGAAGGAACTGCATCAGGGAAGAAGAGATGGGTCCACAGCTCACAGAGGTAGAGAAAGAGACAATCCCTAGGCTCACTTGGAACTTGCTATTCCCTAAGTATCTATTAATATGTTCTACTCATTTCTTGATAGTTCCCAATGCCACCCTCTATTCTTTACTTTTATTTTTTTGTTTGTTCGTTTATTGAAAACAGGGTTACTCTGTGTAGCCCTGGTTGTCCTGAAACTCACTCTGTAGGTCAGGCTGTCTTGAACTCAGAGATCTGCCTGCCTCTGCCTCCTGACTGCTGCCATCAAAGGTGTGTGCCACAACACCTTGTTTTATTTTGTTTTCTAAAATATGGCAATGTCTCTCATGTTGCTTTTACACTTAATTATTTCCCTCTTCACTCCCTTCTACTCTAAACTCTCCTCTTAAAGACAAAGCTTCTTTCTATGTAGTCTATAGTCCAGGTTGGCCTGGGACTCACAGTCCTCCAGCCTCTGCTTCCTGAGTACATAGAATCACGGGTGTGCATACACACAGTACCTCTTCTTTTAATTATCTGATTTGTTTTTGTTTTTGTTTTGTTTTGTTTGGTCTCTCTCTCTCTCTCTCTTTTTTTTTTAATTGATGAACTTGAATTTTCTTCTGTAAGAACTACAAAGACAGGCTTGGTGATGTACAGCTGCCATCTCAGAATTCATGACACTGAACAGAGAATCCTATGTTAAAAACCAGCCTGGGATATAGTGAGTTCAAGGCTATCTGGGTTACATGTGCCCTCTCTCAAACAAACACACACAGTAAGAATGTCATGACATAAGATAAAATGGATAATCCTGGCGAAGGATGCTTAAATGAAGATAAATGAAGGTCTTTTATTTTGTATACTGAATGTGCCAAATGGTTTGTTTTCTAATTTACCCTTCATGTCTAGTTTGTTCAGTTTGTTATGTGATTTTATACCCTTCTCATTAAAATTAACACAAAAGGGTTAATTATTTGTAAAATACAATCGATACATTAGCTCTTACATTTTTTTCTTCCTTTGAGGCAGGTTCTCATTTATATAGCTCTGATTGACCTGAACTCACTAATGTAGACCAGGCTGCCTACCAAGTGTTGGAATTAAAGGTGTATGCCACTGGCATATAAATGAGATAGTAGCCACATTGAAGAAATAAAAAGTACAAGTTCAAATAATGTTATTTAGTTTAATATATCCAAAATACTATCAGGGCCAGTGAGATGGCTCAATGGGTAACAGTACATGCATCTAAAACTGGGGACTAGGTCACATCCCTCTGTATCACACACTAGAAGGAGAGAACAAATCCCTACAAGTTGCTTTCTTACCTCCACACAAGTGGCACGGCAGTGAAAAAATAAACAAATAAATAAATAGCTGATTTTAAAAAACAAGCTAAGAACTTGAACATTAAACTACACAGGGACGTTCTCTGAGTTGGTGGAATCACCATAATAACTGGACTTCCCTGCAGAGGCAAATAGTAATTTCATGTTTGGAGCCAAAGTACAGTATCTCAGCTCAATTACCTTGTGTAGTTCTCCTTGTATCCAGAGATGTCATCATTGGGAGACCGTAGTCTCCGCTGAGATGGAGCTTCTAGGTGCCAGTAGTTGATTCGGTTCAGAAACATCTTGGCCAGCTCTACTGTTGTCTGCCTCTCTTTTGATGGCAAATGACTAAACTTGTACTGTACAAAGTTGTTCACACCCTGAAGAGAATGGAAGGAAACATGCTCATGTAGCCATATAACCACACTAACACTGAACACACCCAGTTATCTCAGTAGTTATTAGCAAAAGAAAAGACAATTCTCAGTCCACAAACATGTCTTCCCTTCCCTTCAAAATAAACAGTACTGCCAGGGGAAATCTCCCCTCTGGTCACAGTGGTAGAAAAAGTAACAAAACAGACTGATTCTGTTACCACTTCAATCCTGGAGCATCAAAAGAGAAATTCATGGACACAGATGAAAAGGGCCAAAACCCCTTAAATGAGAAAACATGCAGAATGAGATTCTTGGATAAATGTTTCTATCTGTGAAATTTTTAAAACTTTGCTACCTGATCCTTCATTAAACTAAACACTAAAATATATACCTTTATTAACACTGTTTTAGTTTTAGCTAGGATATCAGAGGAAGAAAAAACATGCAAAAATGTGCACTTTCCCAAGAGAATTGTAGATTAATCTAAATTTTCTATAGAATATTCTCATCTCATCACAAAAAAAAAAAAAAAAAAAAAAGAACTCTTATTAGTTTAGAATCAACATGAAACTTACTTTCAGTGGTGGCACACACCTTGAATCCCAGCACTCAGGAGGCAAAGGCAGGCAGGTTTCTGAGTTTGAGACCATCCTGGCCTACATAGTGAGTTCCACAGAGAAACCCTGTGATGGGAGATGTCATTCTGTAAATATGTTTCTCGTATTGGTTAAAGAATAACGTACTGTTGGCCAATAGGAAAGCAAGACAGGTGGGACTAGAAGACAAGGAGGATTTGAGAAGTAGTAGGGAGGAGATTCAAAATTTAGGACCAAGAGAACAGAGGTCCCTATCCTCTCTCTGGTAAGATAAGACCACGTGGAAATACTCAGATTAATAGAAGTTAATATTTAAGACGGAGCTAGCCAATAAGTAATACTAGTAACAGGCCAACAGCATTATATCTAATTCAGCCTCTCTGTGTGTTATTTGAGGCTGTGGGACCAGGCCTGCTCGTAACAACCCTGACTCAAAATAAAGGAAGAAGGAAGGAAGGAAGGAAGGAAGGAAGAAAGGAAGGAAGGAGAGGAAGAAGAGAAAAGCAAAGAAAAATCTGTTCTCTCGGAAAACTAACTTACAAAAATGTTCATTTATTTATAAAGACTCTGGTATAATTTTGGGATGATTAGCTCTGTCAACTTGATACTAGAGTCACCTGGGGAAGGAGACCCAAAGAGTGACTGTTTACATTGGGTTGACCTTTGGGCACATCTTCAAGGGGTGGTCATAATCGAGTTTATTGATATGGGATGAACTAAAGGTGGCACCATCCCCTATGACTGAGGGGCTGATCTTTATAAGAGTAGAGAAGCCAAGCCCTTATGCATCCATTTCTCTCTTCTCTTGACTGTGAATATAATCTAATGAGCTTTGTGGAGCTCCTGCCATGTGACTTCCCTGCTATGAAAGACAATAACCTGGATTGTAAGCCTAATAAAACCCCTTTCTCCTCTGAAACTACGTTTTTAAAAAGTATTTTATCACAGCAACAGAAACAAAGCTAGAATGACAATTAACTGACCACCCCCCCCCCATACAATGTTTTCTACATCATTAATGAATGCCTTCTCTCTTCAATGGGCTTTTCAGACAATGCCGAATAAAACACAATGACTTAATTTTAAAACATCAAGAGCAAAAACAAGGCACATTTTATGAATTCCTACCAACTACATGTTTTATGCATTTTCCCCTACATACAGAGTGGAGTTTAAGTGCCAATACACTAAGACAAAAGCCATATTATTTATTCAAGTGAGCATGACTGTGGGAGTCAGAGTGTCCTAGGTGATTCCACAATCTTTGTGTTAACACCTTAAGTTGGGTGGGATGGATGCAAGACCTATGGAGAAATGTGGAAGCAAGCTCAGAAGTTCTCAAGCTAGAGTGTAGTTTAACAGTGTATGCTGACTCTTCACAAGGTTCCAGGTGTGAGCCCCAGCACACAAAAACTTGGAGGGGCCTTTCAGCCTCAAGTTCATTTAAAGAGATCCTCAAAAACATTTACCTGTTCAATACTGGGCTTTTCAAACGGGGGCTTCTTCTCCAATGAGCCTTCAACCACAGGTTTTCCTCTTTGTAAAATAGACTTTCTCAAGAGCTGCAAAGAAATCATTTTTTTTTAACAAACTTTAGTTTGAAAGGCTTTTTATGGTATGCTTCTGGGTATGTGGTTTATAGTTTTGGTTTTCTGAGACAGGGTCTTCTCTATGTAGTCCAGGCTGATCTTATACTCATGACCTTTGTCATCCTTAGCTTCCCAAATGATAGAATTATTAGTATTTACCAACATAACTGGCACTTGAAACGCACACACACACACACACAGAGAGAGAGAGAGAGAGAGACCATACCACACATACCACACCACACAAGGTCTAGCAGTTACCACCTCACATGACTTTGCTTAAAGTCTATATTCTACTTAGTCACATAAGAACTAACCTAGACTGCATAGAAAGACCTAGTCAAAAGAAAAGAAAGGAAAAAAGAAAAGAAAAAGGGATGGTTGGAAGACAAAACTGTGATGTGGCCATCTTGGATTCTGATTTCCGAAGCAAGTATGTCTGTGCTGTTGTTTGAAGATGCAGGGGTTGGGGGAAGGGAGCAGGGACCACAGTGCTATGACCCAGGGTAATAAGGGTAATACTGCAAGCCACATGACTACAGGATAGAAAGTCTACCAGCACCTTCACTTGGCAGAGCAGCAAAAGCTGCAGGGGGCACTTGCTCTGAGAGAAACAGCAGCTGCAGCTATGCAGTCCTTGTTCTCCCTCAACTAAGATCTTTCTCCAAAGCAGAAACAGCTTGAATCTGCCCAGATGCAAGCAGATGACTCAAACCTCACAGCCATGTCTGCAAGTTGCCACCTGACGGGCCCAACATGATGACATAGTGTGAATCAATCCCCCACCCACCCCATCTGTGAATATCCCAGTAGTACCCTAAAACTTTAGAAAAAAAAATGAATTCTCCTTGTCCCTCTGTCTTCTATTTACCCCCAATCCCTCAGTTAATATAAAATAAGAGGAAGGAAGGAAGGAAGGAAGGAAGGAACGAAGGAACGAAGGATCACAGAGCAAATGTTTAGAAGACAAAAACTACAAGAATTTCTGGAGAGAATCCCAGCAGACACACAAAGAGGGAATTTCATGGCTAACTCAGCTCTCTGTGTCACGCAAAACAAGCTGAGGCTAAAATACAGCTCAATAAAGGACTTGTCTGGTACATACAGCCCTGGTTTCAATCCCCAGTACCACAAGGAATAAAAACTAAAATTAAAAATAAATGTAAGTTAAGCATAGTTGTTCTTATTAAAAGAAGAAAGTTTTGTAGTATATGTCTTGCACTCATGTGATAAACAGACATACATGCAAGCCAAACACTCACACATAAAAAAAAAGCACTATAGAGAAAGAGAGCAACCAGGGAGGGGAGGTTAGTTGGTTTCATAAAAATCTATGGAAATAACTAGGCATGGGGGCCTGTGCTTGTAACCCCAGGACAAGAGTGACGAGACAGAAGATTGTGAGTTCACATTCAGTCTGGAAATCTCAGAGACAGTATTTCAAAACTAATCTTGTAAAACAAAACAAACAAACAAAGTGAATCCTGAAAGAAAATACAGACATTGGCACACGTTTCCTGGCCATGCCTTCTGCTTTGGTATATTTCCTAACATTTTTGCAAGGGTTGTGCAATACAATGTCATCTGCAAAGAAGCACAGGTGGTTCACTTCCTTGTGTGTGTCTTTATAAGATGCTGAACCCAAATGCTCACCATGGAGCCATCTCTCCAGTCCCAGTGCTCATGTTTTAATTGTTCTTCTGCCACCTCCTTTAGGAATCTGGTTTTGGCAAATTGCCCCATCAGCACCTGTGAACAGCTGTTTGTTGGGAGGAAAGGCACAAAAAGCAGCAACTCCAGGGAGTGGCAGCAATAATCAGTGACATCAAAGATGTCCCCAGAAGCAAAAGAACCTCAGCTTGGCTTCCTTCTGTTGACACCTCCATCCAGGCTCTACCTGGAAGGCCAGTGCCATGCCTGCACACCACAACCTCTCTAGTGTACAAGCTTCCTGAGCAGGAATTGGCTCTTTTCCCCTCACAGGTTTTAACATTGCAAAAACATCTCCTTGACTGACAAATCCATAACAGAACAACTATGTCTCATTACAGTTCTGTCCCTCAAGATAACCCAATGCCATCTACAATTTCAGGCTGTGATAAACACTTATTTGGTGGATGTTAAATCTATAAACATATGTGATGGAGAGGTTCAATTTTGTACACACATGTGAAGGTATTCACAGAGCTCATATTAGACTCCTGAAGAAGCAAAGCCTCAGGAGCAAACCTGAATGTCTTCCACCCACAAACTGCACATGGGTTTGGGCTGGTCTAAACTTTTGCTTTAGAAATGTGAAAGTCTCACCTCATACAGGGCACAGTGGCCTATAACTGAAATGCCAGCACCTACATTCTAGGTCCTAGAAGGTAAAGGCAAGAAGGTCAGGCATTTAAAGCAAGCCTCAGCTACACAGAGAGTTTGAGGAAAACATAGAATGTTTCAAAAAAACATTGAGGGCTGGAAAGATGGGTCAGTTCATTTTCCAACATCTATGTTAGACGGTTCACAACTGCTTATAACTCCAGCTCCAAGGGATCCAATAGCCTCTCTGGATTTTGCAGGTACAACATTCATGAAAGGTGCTTGCTACCAAAGCTGACAACCTGAGTTAATCCCTGTAGCCCCAATGGGGGAAAGAGAAAAATGACTCACACAAGCTGTTCTCTGATCTCCACATGTGAGCTATGACATGTGTGAGTACAGGTGCATACATACACACATACAAATAAGTAATTAAATGTAATAAAAAATAAATAAAATGTTAAAAAAAATCTCACCTTGAATAGGTAGAAATAAACTTGTTTGGTATCTGCATCTTCTTCTTTGTGGACGCAGGTAAAGAGGTACTCCACATCCAATACAATTCCCAGGAGTCTGTTCATTTCCTCCTCTGACACATTCTCCAAGTGGGAAACATGAGCAGCTTAAGGTGAGACAAAGGAAGAGGTGTAAGACGAAAGATGCAGTCACAAACATTATCCACAGTAAAACAGAAGGTTAACACCTAACATGGTGGCACTTGGCTATAGTCCCAACACTTGGCATGCTGAGACAGGTGCAACACAAAATTCCAGGCAAGCATGAACTACAGAGCAAGATCCCAATAAAAAAAAAGATAAAACAGTGGAGCCATCAAGATGGCTCAGCAAGTGAATCAGCTTGCCACACAAGCCTGATGACATAAGTTCAATCCCAGAACCCACACTAGAAGAACACAATTGACCTCTGACCTCCTTGCATGTACCATGTTATGTTCACCCCACACTCACACACACACACACACACACACACACACACAATAATAATAGTAATAATAATAACAATAATAATAATAATAATAATAAGTAGCCAATCATGGTGGCTTTCAATGAGCTGGCTCAATGGATAAAGGTATTTACTGCCAAGACTGACAACCTCAGTTCAAGCTTAGCTCACACAGAAGAACCAATTCCAAACAGTTGTCCTCTGTCTCCATAAACACAGTGGCAGACACACACATATACACAAGTACACAAACACACCCATACACACAATAAAAATTTCAGAGGCCAAAGCAATCCTTGTAATCTTCTTACCTGGATAAATCTAGTGGACACATCTGAATTCACAAGCATCAACACTGCATCTTTGCATTATCAAATTGAAAAGCAACTGATTAGCTAGGCATGGTGGAGAACATTTGCCATCCCAGCCCCCAGGAGGCTGAGGTAGGAGAATGAAGTGTTTAGGTAGAGCCTGGATTACTGAACAATGCTCTGACTCAGAGAGTCCTGGGTTAGACTAAGAATAGTGGTACATATGTATGAAATTCCATAATGAATCCCATTACTATATGCTAAGTTAAACTTAATTACAAAAAGGAAAACTTCAGAAGTGCCCCTGGGTTTGAGGTTTGTGGCTGCCGTGGATGAAATAGGCTGTTTCCCAGGCTAGCACCTTGTAACCACACCTTCCATCACTTCACTGGCCGCCACACTGACAGATGTCAGGTTAGGCACTAGAGATTTACATGCTGAAATTTACTGATTTTTATCTTGTTTTTTTTTGGGGGGGGGGGATGGTGCAGAGAAGGTTGGTTTTTGTTTTGTTTGAGACAGAGTCTTACTACATATCCCTGACTAGCCTGGAATTTACTATGCAGACCATGCTAGCCCTAAACTCAGAGAGATCTGCCTGCCTCTGCTTTCATCTTTGCCTCTATGTGTGTGTATGAGAGAGGGGGGGAGGTGGGGGGGGGAGAGAGAGAGAGAAGTCTACCCAATTGTGGCAATGAGAACATTTAAAATCTACTTTCTTGGCAGTTTTCAAGAACACAATACATAAAGAACAATCTTTTTCTTTTTTTGTTTGCTTGTTTCAAGATAGGGTTTCTCTGTGTAGCCCTGGCTGTCCTGGAACTCACTCTATAGACCAGACTGGCCTTGAACTCTTCCTCCCGAGTGCTACCACCACTTAGCCTTTTTCTTTTAAAAGTTATTTATTTATTCTTTTGTATGTATGTTTGCCTGCATGAACAGATATCCCTATCTGTTACCCAAGAAGTCCAGAAGAAAGGGTCAGACACCATGGCACTAACATTAACATTTATGAGCTAGAAATTGGACCCTGGGTCCTCTACTAGAGCTGAAAGTGTTCTTAACAATGTCCCCAGTCCTAAGAAAGCATGCTTGCTGTAGCATGACAAACAAATGCCCCACAGACTGATATTGGGGTTTCAGCTTCAAGGTGAAGATCAGAAAAGTAAAGCAGCCGGCTACTAGCTCTCACCTCTACACCTCAGGCTGAAAATCAATCCTGGCTCCACTAAACCTCAGACTGTAATACCAGATTCCTGATGTGGTTTCATGCAGCACTTGCCTAGAGTGCTTGAGGCCCTAAATTCAATCCTCAGCAGACACACACACACACACACACACACACACACACACACACACACACACAGTTTAAAAAAGAGAGAAAAGAATCTAAGGATGCCTATTTACATCAAAAAAAAATCTTCTTTAGAAAAGATTAAGGGGTCTGAAGAGATGGCTCAGCAGTTAAAAGCACTTGCTGGTCTTCCAGTGTCCAAGTTCAATTCCTAGTACCCACAGGAAGGTTCACAACCATCTGTTAACTCTAGTTGCAGAGGATCCAATGCCTTCTTCTGGCCTCCACAAGGACCAGGCACACATGTGGTGCACGGACATATAAGAAGACATCCATGCACATAAAATAAAAATAAATATATCTAAAAAAGCGCCCCCCCCAAAGAGTAAGGGTTTCTTTTAGTAATGAGTGAGTCTTTGGGCATAGCACAAGCTGCTATCAGTGAACAGTTCTGCTTTACAGTTAGAGGTGCTGGCAGGAGTGGGGAATGACTGAGCGCCTGGAATCCAGAGATAAGCTTAGCATGTCCAGTTCTAACAAACAGCCCCAAAGTACTGTAGGTTTAAATGTGAGTGCATTTGAACATTTGCAAACCAAAGCAAACACATCCTCCCTTTAGTCCCTTTGAAAGATGTTAGAACAAGGAGACAGTAACTCAGACAAGTGATCTCAGGGTCTTGAGAGATGTGGCTGTTTGAGCAAGGCCATTATTAGACTACCTGGAGACAGACAAGGCAGTCTGGAATGTAAGGAAATGCAGTGGCTCTGGAAGGTGACAAAGAAGACTGAATTGGTGGTTGATGGAGAGGAATACAAGGACACAGACAGGACTGCTGTCATTTCAGGATGACATGTCACATTTATCTTAAAGTCCAATTTGCTCTGCTGGTGGTACTCTTTTATGTTTTGGAGGTAAGGTACCAATAGATTGACATTTGAAGACGCTAGCTGGTGATGGGAACTTGGTAAGAACACACCTATAAACTCGAGGAAGCAGAATGAAGAGCTGGAGGCCAGCCTGAGCAGCCAAAAAATAAAAATGATAAAATGTATTATTTCTGCAATTAACTGACATGAAAATTTTTAGCCTAGTTATCTCCAAAATGAGGCCAGTCCCTTAAAGGCTTCCAACTGACCTCAAGGAAGAGCCTGCCTAGACATCAGAAAAAGTGACCTGACAAATGACCTCTTCACATGAAGTCAAAAGTGACAGCCACATACTGTTGTTGAATATAAAATAACATTTTCAAAATGTACTTAATTAATTTTTTAATTTTATTATATTATTGTTTGAGGCAGGATTTCCCTGTGTAGCCCTGATTGTCCTGGAACTAGTTTTATACACCAGGCTGGCCCCAAACTCAGATCCACTTGACTCTGTCTCCTGAGTACTGGGATAAAAGGCCTATGCCACCACACCAGTCTATTTCTTTTCTTTTGAGACAATGTCTCACTATGTAGACTAAGCTGACCTAACTCAGAGATCTGCCTGCTTGGATATGTGTGCCAACATATCCAGCTTGGATGCAAACTATGTATAGTCTTAGAAATAATGGAAATTCCATCAGTTCCTTTTCTGGGGTGGTGTTTGGTTTATTTTCTTGAGAAGGAGTCTTATTATATGGCCCTGGTTCCCCCTGGAACTTGCTATGTAGACCAGGCTGTCCTACTGGCTTCAAACTTCTGGCAATTCTCCTGCCTCTATCTCCCAAGTGCAGAAATTGCATGCAAGCACCTCGATGCCCAGCCCTTCCACACACACACCCCACACATATATCCTCAAACCCCCCCCCCCGCCCCTCCTCCACCCCCTGGCAATGTCTCACTGTGTACTTAGTTGTCTTGGCTGGCTTCAACTTTATAATCCTGCCAAGTCCCAGCTCCTGCCAAACCTGGCTGGGACATAATGTTTTAAGCTTTGATGGCTGTTTCCTGGCTCCTCAAGAAGTTTTCATCAGGACAGTGTAGCAATAGTGTGGGAGAATCTCCTGTTCATAACCACTGCCCTTATCTGGGCTTGTTCTCACAGTACATCAAGCTGTAGAACAGAATGGCTGCTAGTGTTCTATAGATGCCCTAGGTGTTGTTCATTACTTTCGACAACATACTGCTCTCTCTAGTACTGACATTTCCTCTGACTGCTTTTTGAGGATACTAGTGTTTTCCTTAAAAGAACTGAGGTACTAATGGTCCATCTGCCATATGCTATGTAGAGGGTGTCTGAGGGCCTGAGTTTAGGTGATATAGAACTTTTAAATTTGGAGGCTAGAGAAACAGCTCTATGACTAAGAGTACTGGCTGTTCTTCTTCCAGAGGACTTGGGTTCAGCACCAACATGGCAGCTCATAACTGTTTGTTATTTTCATCCGGGGTGGGTGGAGTGGTACTACTACTACTATTATTACTACTACTATTACTAATCATTATTATTATTATTATTATTATTATTATCCTTCTTCCTCTTCTTCCTCCTCTTCTTCTCCTTCTTCTTCTCCTCTCCATGGACACACCACATATGCAGTTCATATATACATATTCCAGCACAAAATGCATGGTGATCAAAAAGAAATTTACAGTCAGGTACAGCGGCATATGCCTTTAATCAAACTGAGTTCCAGGACAGCCAGAGCTGATACATAGACAAACCCTATGTCAAAAGACAGACAGACAGAGAGAGAGAGAGAGAGAGAGAGAGAGAGAGAGAGAGAGAGAGGATAGAATCTCCCCCAAACACTTTGTTCTTTCTGGAGAAAGGTCTCTCTATGTAGCCTTGGCTAGTGTGAAACTTGCCATATAAACCCCAACTAACCTCAAACTCACAGAGGTCCTCCTGCTCCTGCCTCTCCAGTGCTAGACTAAAGGCATGTTCCTCCACCCTAGCACTTTAATTAGTATGTTTTCAAATTTTAAAACACGCCTCTCTGAAATGTCACTATCACTAAGAAAATGTTCCAACACATCTCCCATGGAGGGATAACTGCCTTAACCTAGAGACAGGAGAGAAGCCCTAGTCCCTACTTCACATGACCTGTCAGATCTACATGACCCCAACTG